CCACCTCCTCCCCCTCCTCCATCTCCTCCTCCTCCTCCTCTTCCTCCTCCTCCTTTTCCTCCTCTATCTCCTCCACCTCCTCCTCTACCTCCTCCTCCTCCTCTTCCTCCTCTTCCACCTCCTCTATCTCCTCCTCTTCCATCTCCTGCTCTACCTCCTCCTCCTCCTCCATCTCCTCCTCCATCTCCTCCACCTCCTCCATCTCCTCCACCTCCTCCATCTCCTCCTCCTCTACATCCTCCATTGCACCTCATCCTCCTCCTCTGCCTCCTCCATCTCCTCCTCTTCCACCTCCTCCACCATCTCCGCTTCCTCCTCCTCCTCCTCCTCCCTCTCCTCCTCCTCCTCCATCTCCTCCCCCATCTCCTCCTCCTCCATCTCCTCTTCCTCCATCTCCTCCTCCTCCTCCATCTCCTCCTCCATCTCCTCCCCCTCCTCCTCCATCTCCTCCTCCACCTCCTCCACCTCCTCCATCTCTTCCACCTCTTCCACCTCCTCCTCAACCTCCTCCACCTCCTCCACCTCCTCCTCCATCTCCTCCACCTCCTCCTCCATCTCCTCCTCCATCTCCTCCACCTCCTCCTCCTCCTCCTCCTTCTCCCCCTCCTCCTCCATCTCCTCCTCCTCCTCCTCCGTCTCCTCCATCTCCTCCTCCTCCTCCTCCGTCTCCTCCATCTCCTCCTCCTCCTCCTCCGTCTCCTCCATCTCCTCCTCCTCCTCCTCCGTCTCCTCCATCTCCTCCTCCTCCTCCTCCGTCTCCTCCATCTCCTCCTCCTCCTCCTCCTGCTCCACCTCCTCCTCCTCCTCCTTCTCCCCCTCCTCCTCCATCTTCTCCATCTCCTCCTCCATCTCCTCCTCTTTCTCTTCTTCCTCCTCTACCTCCTCTTCTATCTCCTCCTCTTCCTCCTTCCTCCTTTTCCTTCTCCTCTCCTCTTCATCCTCTTCCTCCTTTTCCTCCCCCTCCTCCCACCCTCTTCTTGTTCTTTTTTTTTGGTCTTTTTGAGACAGGGTCTCCCTGTAGCCCCAGCTGTCCTGGAACTCACTATGTAGACCAGGCTGGCCTTGAACTTACAGAGATCCGCCTGCCTCTGTCTCCCAAGTGCTGGGATTAAAGGTGTGCGCCACCACGCCCAGCTTTTTTTTCACTTATGTACCTCTGGCTGTCCTGGAACTCAGAGATTTGCCTGCCTTTGCTTCCTAGTGCCGCAATTATAGCTGTGTACCACCATACCCAGCCTTTTTCTTTTTCTTTTTTCTATTTTTATTTATTTTTATTTTATGTGTATGCATGTATTGCCTTTCTATTTTTATTTATTTTTATTTTATGTTTATGCATGTATTGCCCACATATAGGTAAGTGCACCTGTGTCGTGCAATGCCCGCGAAGGACAGAAGAGGCTGGCGGATCCCCTGGGACTGGAGTTACAGACAGTTGTTAGCTGCCATGTGGGTGCTGGGATTTGAACCCGGGTCTCCTGCAAGAACAACTAGTGTTCTTAACCACTGAACCATCTTTCCAGCCCCTGCCTTTTTCTTTGTTAAAAATATTTTTGGAGCCGGGCATGGTGGCGCACGCCTTTAATCCCAGCACTTGGGAGGCAGAGGCAGGCAGATCTCTGTGAGTTCAAGGCCAGCCTGGTCTACATAGTGAGTTCCAGGACAGCTGGGGCTACAGGGAGACCCTGTCTCAAAAAGATTAAAAAAAAAATATATATATATGTATATATATATTTATTTGTGCGTGTGTCTATGAGTTTATGTACATGTACCACATGCGTGCAATGCCCCCAGAGGCCAGAAGGGAGTGTCATCCTCTGGAACAGGAGTTACAGATAGTTGTGAGCTGCCACGTGGGTACTGAACCAAACTTTGGTCCTCTGCAAGAGCAGCTGATGCTCTTAACCACTGAACCATTTCTGCAGTGCCACCCCGCCATAAGCTTCTGGGACAGGACTGTTCACTCTGTGCCCTCAGCACCTGGCACCTAGTGGACTCTCAGAAGGCCTCACAGAAGCTGTGGAAGCAGGCCATCTGGGTCTCTGATCCCAGGGTCCTGTCCTGGACCTGTCTGGTAGCTTTTTAGCCAACTTCCTGCCAGACCCTCTGGTCTGAGCCAGTGTCTTCCTTTTGGCACCTGTCCCACTCCACCTTTAGTTTTCCTGTGGTTTTCATCATCTTTCTCTTTTTCCTTTACGTGTGTATGTGTGGGTGTGTAGGCTAGAGGTCAACCTCTGGTGTCAGCCACCCACCTTGTTTTTGAGACAGCCTCTTGCTGGGGCCTGGAGCTCACTGATTGGCTAGGCAGGCTGGCCAGCAAGCCCCCGAGTTCCTACTGTCTCCTCTCCAGTGCTGAGACTGCAGGTGTGTGCGCACCACACCCGGCTTTTTAAGTGGGTGCTGGGGATTGAACTCAAGTCCCCATGCTTGTGTGGCAGGCTCTTTACTGAGTAAGCCACATCTCTAGCCCAATTTACATTTTAAAAATTGAATCTAGGGGCTGGAGAGATGGCTCAGTGGCTAAGAGCACTGACTGCTCTTGCAGAGGACCTGGGTTCGATTCCCAGCACCCACATGGAGGCTACAAACCGTCCTTAACTCCAGTTCCAGTGGAATCTGAAGCCCTCTTGACCTGTGCAGCATTGCATGACACAGGTGCACTCACATACACTCAGGCAATACACTCATACACAATAAAATAAAAATAATAAAATATTTTTTAAAAATCGAATCTAAACCACAGACCTTCACAGCTTATGCATCTTTTTACAAAATATTTTATTTGCTGGGCGTGGTGGCGCACACCTTTAATCCCAGCACTTGGGAGGCAGAGGCAGGCAGATCTCTGTGAGTTCAAGGCCAGCCTGGTCTACATAGTGAGTTCCAGGACAGCTGGGGCTACAGGGAGACCCTGTCTCAAAAAAGACAAAAAAAATTTTTTTTTAATTTGTCTTTTTTGTATGAGTGATATGCCTGCATATATGTAAGTATACCCATGCCATGTAATGCTCTTGGGGGACAGAAGAGGCTAGCTGCCATATTGGTACTGGGAACTGAACTCGGGTCTTCTGCAAGAACAGCTAGTGCTCTTAACTGCTGAGCCATCTCTCCAGCCACATCTTTCTTTATTAAGGTTTTGCTGGGGTGACAAAGATGGAGGTCCCCAGGGCTCACTGGCCAACCAGCATAATTTGGCTAACTCCAAGTCTCAGTGAGAGAGACTGTCTCAAACAAACAAAAAGGGGAGACAGCCTGCTTTGACAGGAGTCCTGTTCCACCCTTAGCTACCTTTGACCCTGCAAGTGTATCAGTTAGCACTGGGCACCAGTACTTCATAACAGTCCCAATAACTGATGACCCTCATGGAACTGGGGTTGCTGGGGCTGCGCTACTGTAGGCTGTAGGTCTGCACACCTGGTCCGCTCTGTCTCACATTCCTGGGATCAGTGTGCTGTCTGAGGATGTTCTTTCTAGGACAGTGGCAAATGCACAGGAGGGTAGTAGAGAGTCAAGAGGCCTCTTGAAGCTAATTGTATGGTGAGCACTGTGCCAGTTTCACCCATGTCCCACTGGGCAAAACTGGCCAGTCACAGAGCCCAGATCAAGGTCTGGGAATCACCTGTGGTTGTGGGAGGAGACATTGTAAAGTCTTAGTGCAAAGGGCATGGGCACAGGGTGTCCATCACCAGGTGATCAACTCTGTGCCTCAGTCTCTCCTTTTGTATCTGATGGGGCCACTAAAGCTGCCTTCCTGGATGGACTGTGAGGTTACCACGGGACTCAGTGTGTTAACAAATGTGAGGGTGACTAGACTGTCACCCAGCTCAGTAAGTGCTGGCTGCCATGACTGGAGGATCAAGGAGACATGGATTGCATAGGTCACGGGAAAAGCTGGTTCAGTTGTTAGAAGTGCACACGCTCTCTGAGCCAGTGCTTTCTGTTCAGGGATCTGACCAGGCAGGTGTGCAGGTGCAGGCAGACAGATGTCTGTGTGGGCAGTTATTGCTCACTGGGTTGTTTTCATGGTGTAAAGCTAGAGTTGGGTCAAGTGTGTTGATGCACACCTGTATCCCAGCACTTGGAAAACTGAGGGAGGAGGATTGTGAGTTTGAGGCTAGCCTGGGCTACATAGTGAGATCCTGGCTAAAAAATGGAGAAAAAACAAAGACAGGAGGATGGAGTGGTAGAGGGCCTGCCTGCCTGGTATGCACAGACCTATCCCCAGTACGAGACAAACACCCAAGCCCCAACCTCCTGGAGCTGGGAGTCTGGATGACACTGGCTTCGAAGGGGTCCCTGCCACTGACCAAATGTCCTCCCTCTCCCCTCCAGGTGGGCCTTTCTGGACTTGGGCACAAATGGCAACTATAATGACAGCCTGCAGGCCTATGCAGCTGGTGTGGTGGAAGCCTCTGTGTCTGAGGAGGTAAGGCCAACATGGGGGAGCCCGCAGTCCCACCTGCCTCACCCCTGCCAAGCAAGGGCATCCTCAGGGGCTTCAGAGAGTTTGATGCATGTGCAGAATAGTTTCCCACCTTCTGCCCTCCATGTAGGTGGGGAAAGAGCCACATTCTTTAAAGAGGGCCTACAAAGTTGGGCAGAACACACCTGTAATTCTAAGAGTTATGAAGCTGAGGCAGGAGGATTGCTGAGTTTGAGGGCACCCTAGGCTACAGAGTGAGACTGTATCTTGAAAACAACAGCAACACTCCCCCTGAGAAAAACCAACAAAATAAAAACACAAGCCATGCATGATAACTCATGTCTGTAATCTCAGACACTGGGAGGCAGAGGCTCAAGGATCAGGAGTTCAAGCCAGCTTCAATCACATCCCCCTCAAAAAGAAAAAAGTATACTCCATGGTTCTTTGTACATTTCTAAGGTGGTGCAGCTGTCGCTACTATCTGATTCCAGAACATCATCATCATACCAGAAGGCAGTTCCATTCAGCTGACAATCATTCCCATTGTTCTGGTTTGTTTTTCCATTGCTGTGACAAAATACTCTGACCAATACCAACTTAGGGAGGAAAGGGTTTATTTGTCTTACATCTCCTGGGTCACAGTTCATCAGGGAGCCCAAGGTAGGAACACGGGGCAGGAACCTGGAGGCAGGAGCTGAAGCACAGGCCATGGAGAAATGCTGCTTGCTGGCTTGCTCCCCTGACCTATCCTCAGCCTGCTTTTTCATGCAACACAGGCCTACCTGCCCAGGGGTGGTACCACCCACAGTGGGCTGGGCCCTCCCACATCACTCAACAATCAAGAGACTACCCCACAGACATGGCCATAGGTCAGTCCAATGGTGGCAATTCCCCAATTGAGTCTCCCTCTACCTAGGTGTGTCAGGTTGACACTAAAGCTATCCAGCACACCCATCCTGGCCTTAGCATTGGGTGCTCTCCAGGCAGTAGTGTTTCTTGGATATGGTTATTGTGAACCTCACAGAGACAGAATCACACAGATGGGCTCCTGCCCTCTTGCTGCCTATTTTTTTGCTTTTTGTTTGTTGTTTTTTGAGATAGGCTCTCATGTAACCCAGGATGGCCTCAAATTCACTATGTAGCCAAGGATGACTCTAAACTTCTGGTCTGCCTTCACAAGTGCTGGGATTACAGGAGTGTACCACCTTGCCTGGTTTATTTGTTGCTGGGGACAGAACCCAGACCTTCGTCTTGAGTACTAGGAATATGAGCCTTTCTGTAACTGGCTCCCTTAGCCTCATGTTTTCTTTTCCTTTTGCATTTATATATAAATGCTTCTGAGGTATACAGTAATGAGTTTCACGCTGGCGTTTGAATACATGTTATTGTACCTTGCTTGCAGTCACCCCTGTTGCTTTCCCTGTCCCTCTTTCCACCTCCTGCTGGTCCCAAATGGTCCCCTTTCTGCTTTCATGCATTTTGTCTGTGTTTCTTTCTTGGTGTTTTGAGACAGGGTCTTAGTATGTGGCCCGGGTTACCTTAGACCCTCCTGCCTCAGTCTCCTGAGATCACAGGGTTTTTTTTTTTAAATACTGGAGATTGCAGCTAGGGTCTCCCACATGCTGGGCAAGTGCTCTGTGGCTATTCTCCACCCTTGACCCTCTTTACTATGTGTTTTGAGTCTCACCCAACCTGACCTACAGTTCACTCTTTTGTCCCAACAGCTGTTAAACTTTCGAACCTCTAGTCTCAGCCTCCCGAGTACTGATACATACCACCTGCCCGGCTCGTACCAGTGTTAACCTAGTTTTCCTCCATGTAGCGAGTCCCCAAATAACAGAGCATTCTGCTTACCTGATTTTGAAGTGTAAAAATTCGCAGTTATGTTTCAGGAGTCCGCCATCAGAAGTGAGGCTGTGGGTGGCAGTCTTTCCCATGCTGGCTGGTGGTTGGTAGAGGACACCCACTTTGGGAAATAACTGGGCATTAACTTAGAGAACGGGACACACACAGGCCCCAGGAACCAGCAGTAACTTAGAGAATGGGACACACACAGGCCCCAGGAACCAGCAGCCCTACTCTTTGGGTGTGTATTCCACAGGTGACCCTGGGACATGGAGGGAGCATCCAAAGTTGCTTTAAGCAAGAACACTGTATATCCTGGCTGGGCCTGGGTTGTCAGCCATCACAGTGGAGCATGGTGGGGCTGCCACTGAGGGAGAGGCATGGAGCATGTGAGCTGTGGTGTGGGGGAGGGTGGAGCCCAGGAAGCAGCCTCTACTGGGGCACCCCGCATGAGCCCACTACACAGGGCTGGTGCCCAGCTGCCCCCTGGATGGCCTCCCAGGATCCTTGTGTCTAGGGAAGTGGTGAGACTCGACCCTTTCTCTACACAGCCTGCTGGGGGCACTAAGGTGAGGCCACAGCAGTTCTCATGCCAGGAACACAAGGGCACTTTGCCTATGTCATCTCACTGGGTCCCTACCCCAAGCTTCTGAGGGTGGCCTGGTCATCTTAGCTGGGGAGAGGTGATGTGGCTCAGATCTAGAGAGGTGAAGATACTTCTTCAAGGTTAAACAGCCAGTGAAGCCGAGGAGTTGACTTCAAACTCAGCTCTGTGTGGCCCAAGTCTTTACTCCTGACCAGTTTGCTTTGCTGCCTCCTCCTCTGGCTTCTGTGGATAGGTAGGGACAATGTCTTGTTCTCAGCTGAGCCCAGCCCAGAACCTAGTGTAGGACAGGCACCAGAGCAGTGCTGTGCAAGTTCTGAGAGGTACATGGAGAGTATTAGTGGAGCTGTGGTGAGCTGGATTTGGGTGGGTTCTAGTGAGCTAATGACTGGGCAGGGGTCACTGAGCCATCAGCTCCTTGTGGTGGGCATTGACACAGCCTTTGCTGTCTTCCATAATAGAGAGTGTTTCTTGTAGAATTAGGCATGACCAGAAGTTACCTCCAACCTTTGCCCAAAGAGTGTAGAGCTTTGGGACATTCAAACATGTCTTGGCCCTGTGGTTTGCTGATTGGGTGTCTTGAGGTGCTCACCTGCCTGTGGTTTGATTTCTCCAGTTGTAGAGCAGATGTGTTGGTTTCATGTCACTGTCATGAAATGATACTGAGCTCATAGGCAAAGGTTCATTTTGTTTGACTCTCAGCTCTGGTAGTGCCCAAGGCCAAGTGACCCGTTGCTTTGGGTCCCAGGAGATCCTGGGAGGCAGTGGCATGGACACACGCATGGCAGAACACAATGTCCCCTTCATGAGCCAGAAAGCAAAAATGGAAGAGGAGAGTGGGATTCCTGTGTCCCTTTCTAGGCCACATCTCCAGTGACCCTCAGTAGTCCCCCACCAAGCTCTGCCTCCTCAAGTTTCCACACCTCCCAACAGCACCACCCTGTGGCCTAAACCCATAACATGCACAGCTCCTGGGGCTAGTCCAGCCCAGACTGCTGTGATGGGGACAGTGACCACAGCACTCAGAGAACTCAAGACTCTAATGTATCATTCCATATGAGGCTGCTTACTTACACGAGCCATAGGCACTGCCACCCCCCAGTGTCCCAGGGACCAGCAGCCCTCCTCTTGATGAGCAGTGGCTGGGTGCCCTGGTTATTCTGGACCAGGCCAGGTTGACCTTGGCTAGGTTCACTTGTAGTGCTGTAGTCTCCTGGCAGACATGCTAGGGCAACTGTCCAACGTGGGACAACCTCACTCATACATCTAGGGGTTGACTGTCTGACAGCTGAGGAACAGGGTGGGCTAGGCTACAGTCTCTTTCCCCCTGAAACGAGCCCAAGCTCATCCACACAGCATCTAGGCAAGTGCCAGGCATTCCTGGCCTGGTGAGTCAACAGCAGACTTGCTGTCTTGTTGCCTCTGTCCTTGGTGCTTTGAACAGAGCAGGGAGCTGTACAAAACCACAGGGGTCCAGCCAGGGGTGGTGGTACCTGCTTGTAGTGCTGTGTTCCAGCATGCTAGAGGCTTTGGAGGATGAATTGTGAGCTCAAGGCCAGCCTGGATTGCATAGTGAGACCCCATCTCAGAAAACCAAGCAATGGGTTGGGAATGCAGCTCCATGGGTAGAAAGTGTGCCTAGCATGCACAAGCCCTTGGTTCCATCTCCAATGCCTTATAAACCTGGAGTCGTGGCACACACCATAATCCCAGCATTTTTGAGGTAGAGCCAGGAGGATCTGGCATTTCAAGGCCTTCTTTGGCTACAAGTTCAAGGTCAGCCTGGTATACATAAGACCCCACCTCTAAACAAACAAACCAAATAAAACCACAAAAGCAAACCTCAGGGCTGGGCTGTAGCTCAATGGCAGAGCATCTACTTAGCATGCACAGGGCCCTGGGTTCAATCCCTAGCACTACAAACATGAAACAGAACAACCCAAGACCCCCATAGTCGATGGTGGAACACAGCTAGATTGGGGTCCCTAGCAACAGAGGAAGTGTCGTCTAGTTTAGACCTTCCATGTTGGATGCCCTAAAGGTGGGAGACCCAAGAAGCTTTGGGGTATGAAGGGGACCAAAAGCTATGTAGGCTGGGAGGCTATCTGTGCTGTGGTAGAACCATCCCTCACGGTCCTGCTTCCTCATCTGTAGCTTATCTACATGCACTGGATGAACACAGTGGTCAATTACTGTGGCCCCTTTGAGTATGAAGTTGGCTACTGCGAGAAGCTCAAGAACTTCCTGGATGCCAACCTGGTGTGGATGCAGAAGGAGATGGAGCTCAGCCGGGACTCACCCTACTGGCACCAGGTGGGCTGGCTGCCCCACTCAGTGGGAGGTGGCTATTTTGGGGTGTGCTTCCAACTGGCCAATTGCCTTTGGGTGTAGCCATCAGCATCTGCACCCTCCTCTCCAACCTGCCATCCTTCCATCTGTCCACTTGATGGATCTCCAGTTGCCCATTCTGGCCTGTGTGCACCATCTCTCTGCCTTCCTGCTGTCCAAGAACACTAGACATATAGCTGATCGGTGGCCCAAGGTTCTACTTGCTGCCAGGGAGGCGCATACACGGCTGGAGGTCAGCAAAAACAGTTCTAGAAAGGGGAGAGAAGAGAAAAACTAAAGCTCCCAGAAAGTGGACTTTCCCTTCCCTCTGAGCTGCTGATTGGCTAGATGCTGGGGAGGGCGTGAGCAGGTCCTTAACCTTGGTCAGTTGGCTGAGTTGTCAGTGCAAAAGTTATTGAGCTAGAGGGCTCCCTCAGACCTGAGGGATTAGCCTTGCAGCACAAGCAGCTGTCTCTGAAAGAAGACCCCCTGCCTGTTCATACACCCTCTGCCTTGGGCTGTATTGATGCCATTTTCATCTCTAAGCAGAGTTCTTGCTGCCCATTCACCTGCTTCTTCCCTTTTTAGATCAGGCTTTTCTCTCCCATCTACCCACTCTTCCCTTCAGCTTCCCACCCCAGTCATTTCATGTTCCCATCCAACTACCCAGTTATCCATCTACCCAGCTAACCATTCATATGTCTGCTTACCCACCAGTACACATAACCCATTCATCCATTCATCCCTCCTATCTATCCATCTGAACACCTACCCACCCATCCACCCACTTACTAAAGTATCCATCCATCCATCCATCCATCCACCCACCAACACATCTATTTACCCACCCATACTTGTACACATTAACCCATCCACCATCAAGCCAGCCATCCACTCTCTTGTTCATACATTCTTCTACCTTCTGTCCATCCACTAACTCATTTGCTGAGTGATCCATCCATCCACCATCTATCCATCCACCATCCATCCTTCCATCCATCCATCCACCCATCCTTCCATCCACCCACCCATCCATCTGCTTATCCATCTATCCACCCACCTATCCATCTACTCATCCATCCACCCACCCACCCATCTGTCCATCCATCCATCCATCCATCCATCCATCCATCTTGTATAACCTTACTAATTTCCTGGTATGTGTCCAGCATCAGCTAATGTCCAGTGAGAGACATGGTAATGGCTCTGGGGTTACAGAATACTGAAGCAAAACAGGGACAGTGGGGATGTCAGGAGCAGCAGCCACAGAGCTGAGTAGACTAAAAGCAGAGAGCTGTTTGGTAGGGGCCAGGCCAGGCTAGAAGCCTTCCTGGAGGAGGTGGCTTTTGACCTGAGATTTAAGTAAGGAAGACATGGGATCAGCCTGAGGAGGGGTCATAGAGTTTGACTTATTGAAAGCAAGAGAAGGGTCAGGGCTGGTTGGAGCCTGTACTCTCCTCTGTCAGGCGAGAACCCCTCCAATGGCCCAGAGGGGTGAACTGGGGAGCCTCACTCTCCTTCTGCTCCTCCCCCAGGTGCGGCTGACCCTTCTGCAACTGAAAGGCCTGGAGGACAGCTATGAAGGCCGTTTGCACTTCCCAACTGGGAGGTTCACCATCAAACCCTTGGGGTTCCTGTAAGTGCCACCCTCAGTCTGCACAGGGTGGGGGAAGGAGTTACGAACCTCCTAGAAGCTCTGTCACTTCTATTCTCCAGCTGCAGTGAGTCCACTGACTTAAAGACCCACAGCTGTGACCTGTGCAGGGCAGCCCATGACTCTCCTGTCCTGCTTCCTTAGTCTGCTGCAGATATCAGGAGACCTGGAAGACCTAGAGCTGGTCCTGAATAAGACCAAGACCAAGTCTTCCCTGGGCTCGGGCTCCTGTTCTGCCCTCATCAAGCTGCTGCCTGGCCAGCGGGACCTCCTGGTGGCCCACAACACCTGGACATCCTACCAGAATATGTTGCGCGTCATCAAGAAGTACCAGCTGCAGTTCCTGGAGGGGCCGAAAGGTAGAAGGGTGGAGCAGCCATATGGGCCAGTGGGGAGGGATGGGGCCTTTGTGAGCTCTGGAGCTCTGCCAGGAATTCTTACTTGGCAAGGTGTGTCAACCATTGTTGCTTGATGTGTCTCTCCCTCAAGGTGACTCTCTCTCTTACTGTCTTTGTCATCATCTGTCCATCCATCCATCCATCCATCCATCCATATATATTGGGGATTGAACCCAGAACCTTATTCATGATAGGCACTCTACCACTGAACTACATGCCCATCCCTCTTTTTACTTCTGTTTTGGTGGCCTTGAACCAGAAATCTGCATTAGCTTCCCTGGCATGAGGATTCCAGGCATACACACCTACATATTTTACCTGCTGTAACCTCATGTGCTATATTAGATGACAGAAGGGACAGAGGCAGGGACTCCTCTGAGGCCTGCATGCTTCCCCCCTGGGGACCCCAGCCTCAAGGGATGGGGTGTGGGTCCCCCAAGCCTGTCTGACCAGCCCCAGCTGCTGTCCTGCAGAGGAGTACCCCCTGGTTGCTGGCAACAACGTGGTCTTCTCGTCCTACCCTGGCGCCATCTTTTCCGGTGACGACTTCTACATCTTAGGTAGCGGTCTGGTGAGTGAGTCCTTTCACATCCTCTCTGGGGACATGGCTCAGTGACTCTGGGTACCTGTGGGAGAAAGGGATAGAGTGGAGAATGAAGTAGAGGCTCCTTTCCACCCCCTAGTGGTGTCTGGACCCAGAAGGACTTAATAAACCCAGGTGCCCAGGCCCCAACCGAACCTCTGAACTCTACAGCTGGCCTGGAACTCTGTGGGAACCCAGGTCCTCAGCAACAGCTGGTCTTGGGAACCTTTCTGAAGCTCTTGACCTCTGTGACCCGGGTTTGTTTTTCTGTGTTGCACAGAGGCCCTCCTTTCCCTCCAGTGACCTTGTTTTCCGTCCGGCGTCTCCGGCCGCTCTACCCACCCCCTAACCTGGCTGCTCTCTGAATAGTTGCTGTTTACAGCCTGTTGTTTTCCCTGCTTTCCCTGGCTTGTATCCAGGCTCCTTTAGAAATCTGTTCCTGGCACCCTGGCTGGGGAAGCTGGCACCCAGGATCACCAGAATGATGCTTCCAGGAAAGGGACTGTGTTGCCCAAAGTGCTCTGGGTACGGGGACATGCAGGGGCACTAGTGGGTGTGATAGGGCTCACTCTCCAGTCTGTGCTGTTGCTTATTCAAGTGTGAATGTGGGAGAGGCTGGAGAGAGCCACACGGCAGGGAGCCTCTTGCTTGGGAGTGGGAGGCAAGCCCTTGGGGGCTTCAGTCACAGGAGCATGTGCATGTGTGTGCTTGTGATGGAACCCAGGGCCTGTCACTGAGGCCAGCACAGGAGACCAGTATACCTCACTGCTTCACTGTGTTTGAGCCTTGGGCCCCTTTGACAGCAGAGGACACTCTGACCTCCTTCTCAGACTATTTTATTTTTATTTTTATATTTTTGCTTGTCTGCTTTATTTCATTTTTTGACAGTGTCTCATGCTATAATCTAGGCTGGCCTAGAACTTAGTATGTAGCCCAGGCTAGCCTCAGACTTGCAGTGGTCTTCCTGCCTCAGCCTTCCAAGAATACTGGAATTATACACCTAAGCCCCTAGGTCCAGCTTAAATGTCCTTTTTATTTTTCTTCTCTTTTTATTTTTTATTTTTTTAAAAGTATTTTGTTTATTAGTTTTATGTGTATGCGTGTATTGCCGGCATGTATGTAAGTGTACCCGTGTCATGCAATGCTCTCAGAGGACAGAAGAGGCCGTCAGATCTCTTGGAGCTGGAGTTATGGACAGTTGTTAGCTGCCATGTGGGTGCTGGGATTTGAACCTGGGTCTTCTGCAAGAACAGCCAGTGTTCTTAACCACTGAGCCATCTCTCCAGCCCCTCTTTTTATTTTTTATTATGATTTCCTGAGACAAGGCCTCATGTAGCCCAGGTTGGCCTAGAACTCACTAGGTAGCTGAGTTTTCCTTGTACCCCTGATTCTCCTGCCTCCACCTGAGGTCAGCCTGAGCTACAGTGTGAGACCTGGCTCATAAAACACTCAATAAGTAAATAAAATTTAAAACTAAAATACCATTCTGACAGCTTTTAGCTATTTTCAGCCTGTTCGTATAAGGAAAACCCAGGCCAGCACCCCTTGGGACTGCAGGGACCTGAACTCCGATTTCAGCCTGGGAGGTTAGGTTTCAGAAGTATAGCCCCTCTGCTCCCCAGCCATGACCTGGGCCACATTTCTTAGTTTCTCCCAGTCTCAGCACACCTGTCATTGAAGAGATGGCAGGGCTTGGCTGCAGCTCTCAGGAGAGCCAGAAGAGCTGATTGGGATGCTGGCTGTGCAGATTCCTAAAACAAGGCTGCCTCTCAGCTCTAAGGACCTGGCAGGCCATTTAAGCCAGAGCACATGTTTAGTTAGCCCCATGATTCTTATCAGGGCCAGTCTGCACCCCTGGAGAAGTACGGCATTTCTGGAGGCTCCGAGTTACTACACAGGATCATTTAATAGTCAGAACCCCATTTTCCTGATGTGCATCATAGAAAGCCAAGTGCAACGGAATCTTTTCAGCTGAGGATATAACTTCTATTGTTTGGTTTGGTTTTGCTTTGCTTGAGACAGGGTCTTACTGTGGAGCCCTGGTTGCCTGGAACTCGATATATACTCTAGGCTGGCCTTGAAACTTGTGACAGTCCTCATGCCTCTGCCTACCAAGTATGGGACTTACAGGCCAGTGCCATCATGCCTGTTTAGCTTTGCCTTTTTATTTTACTAAAGATTTATTTTATGTGTATGAATATTTTGCCTGCATGTATACATGCATGCTATACCTTCACATGCATGTTATACCCTGAGAGGTAGAAGAGGGCATTGGAACTGGAGTTACAGAGGGCTGTTGGCTGCCATGTGGGTGCTGGGAACCAAATTTGGGTCCTCTGCAAGAGCATCTGATGCTCTTAACCACTAAGCCATCTCTTCAGCCCCTTTATTTTTTATTTTTAATTATGTGAACTTGTGTGTGTTTGTGTGTGGGTATGTACATATGAGTGAAGAGGCCAGAAGAGGTTGTTGGATCCCTTGGAACTGGAGTTACAGGCAGTTGTGAGCTGCCTGGTATGGGTTCTGGGAACCAAACTGTGGTCCCTGTAAGAGCAGTAAGTGCATTTAACTGCTGAGCCATGTCTCTAGCCCTCTTCAGGCCTGGTTTATATACACACAGAAGACAAGCTCCAAGGAAAATGGGCAGGGTCAGGCAGCACCTCACAGCTCCAAGGCCAAGGGAGTCAGGCCAAGGTCCCCCCAAGTCTAGGTGCTGGGGCTCCAGGGAGAAGAGCCTTAAGCCGCCAGCTCTCCCTGCAGGACTGAGAGGACGGGTAAGAGTTTGGGGCTGAGTTTACCCCGTGGTGACACTTTGGGCTCCCCTAGAGGCTGGTGCCCAGGGCAGAGATGGGTGCAAGATTGGGGTGCACCCGAGGCAGGAAGAGGCTGTATCAAAACAGTCAATCAAAACCCGTTGATTTCTGAGTCACCACTGGTGCAGGCTTAGTGGTAGCATGTCTGGGGTGTGCAGCAACATCTCGTCTCCCACAGGTCACCCTAGAGACCACCATCGGCAACAAGAATCCAGACCTATGGAAGTACGTGAAACCTGAGGGCTGCGTGCTAGAGTGGATCCGCAACATTGTGGCCAACCGCCTGGCCCTGGATGGGGCCACCTGGGCCGAGATCTTTAAGAAGTTCAACAGTGGCACGTGAGTGTGTTCTGACCCTGAGGCTCTCACCTGGAAACCAGCAAACTGACTGTAGTACTCAAACCCCAGGGGATCCAGTGGGCCTCGTGCCCCATCCCTCTCTCAGGCTCTCAGAGTTGGTTCAGAGATCCTCCCTTGTTTTTGTTTTGTTTTGTTTTGTTTTGTTTTGTTTTGAGACAGGGTCTCCCTATAGCCTCAGCTGGCCTGGAACTGGCAATGTAGACCAGGCTTGCCTCAGTCTCACAGAGGTCCACCTGCCTGTGCCTCCCAAGTGCTGAGATTTAAAAGCATGCACCACCTTGCCCAATGCCCCTCCCTTGTTTTTTTTTTTGTGGGGGAAGCAGGTTCAAGGAGGGCAGAATTTTCTCCACTCCTACAAGCAATTCCTCTTGGGGAAATCTAGCAGGAAGAGGCTCAGATCCTTGGAGAGGGCTGAGGAATGTATGAGTGGGGAAGGGGCCTAGGAACCAGACCCTGGAAGTGGGTGCTCAGGTCTCAGAGTACCTCACAAAGAATTGACCTTTGTTTTTGTAAGCACTAGGGAGTCATGGACTATTGTTGGGCAGGAGGGTAGAATGCAGCAAGAGGGTTGTGTGGGCTTCTGGTCAAGCTGCAGTTTCGGGGTATTTCTGGATGGTAGGACACCTCCAGGCTACCACTGCCAATGACTCCTAGCCATGTGGCATGCCGGGGCAGAGGGAGGTTGGGGCAGGGATTCCAGGCTCAATGCAGGCTTCTTCCTTGGGCTTGACAGGTATAATAACCAGTGGATGATTGTGGACTACAAGGCGTTTGTCCCTGGTGAGCCCTGCCCTGGGAGCCGGGTGCTTACCATCCTGGAACAGATCCCGTGAGTCCCTGGAGTAGAGAGAGGGAAGCCAGGTTGGGTTGGGGCCAGCCCCTGGCTTGGGTGGGAGGTTTGAGACACAGTCCCTGCCCAGGCTGTGTTCTTAGAGCCCTTTCCTCACTGCCATTGTCTATCTCTCTGGGTCCCAGGGGCATGGTGGTAGTGGCTGACAAGACTGCGGAGCTCTATGAGACGACCTACTGGGCCAGCTACAACATCCCGTACGTGCCCTTCCTTCTTCCATGCCTCCCTTCCCCAGGTGACATTTTAAACCTCCAGAGCGAGAAGGGCCCTAGCCCTACTCTCCTGCCGAGAAAGCCCCATGGTGATCACACGCCATTGTGTGACCTCCAGTTTTGACACTCACCGCAAGGTGGCTTGGGGTGCCACACCCAGGGTCTGGATATTACCAGGCATCCAGCTGGGTCTTCCCCTGTCTCCTGGGAGGTGGAGATACCCACCTGGGATCTAGGCTGAAGTTGAGGTGTGGCTGGGGCAGCCTGAGTCCCAACAAATACTTAGTCTTGACTGGGCTGCTTAGGGCCACCTTGGCACCCCCTGCTTTCCCTGGCTGTCTCTGGGACCTTGTGACCATGATACGTGGGTATAGTAGCCTGTTCCCTTTCCACAGATGTGGAAAATGAGGCAGGGAGCTGCGCTTGCTCACGGCTCCAAAGTTAGAGAACAGTGAAGTGGGATTTGCCCTCAGAGCCCAAGTCCATTCACCCCTAGTACAAGCACAGGAGGTCCTCACTGCATCCTGATGTCATGGTCGTTAGTGACAACATTCACTGCCATTGCCCCTTCCACCTTCCTGGTGGGGGCGTGGGTGACCACCCTTGTCCCAGCAGGTTCTTTGAGACTGTGTTCAACGCCAGTGGGCTGCCAGCCCTGGTGGCCGAGTACGGAGACTGGTTTTCGTATAGCAAGAGCCCTCGAGCACAGATCTTCCTGCGGAACCATTCACTTGTAAAGGACATGGACTCAATGATCCAGCTCCTGAGGTGGGTGAACTCATCACTGGTGTGGTGCTGAGAGCCACCTGTGCATCTGGCTGATAGCACTGTGCTGAGCCACCAGTCCTGGGGAGTGGCTGGGCGCTCACTGAGCACCAAACCTGCTCCCTGTCATCCTTGGTTTTTTGCTCCTGGGAGATGGCGATGTCTGCCCAGGACCCAGGCTGAAGTTGAAGTGTGGCCAGGGCAACCTGAAGCCCAACAAATACTATCAAGGGACAGACAGGGTGTCTGGCCTGCTTGGGATGGGGCCTGGAGACTCTTCCCAAGGAAGATCTGATGAGGCTGGGGTGGCCCAGTGGAGAGGTAAGGGTAGCTTACGTCTGGATCTACCTGAGGTTGGTGTTGAGAGAAGCCCAGCAGGTTTAGGAAGGCTGCCCATGAGGAGCTTGGCCTTTTCCCTGAGTGACTAGCATCCCTTCCACTCACACCCAGGTATAATGACTTCCTCCATGACCCCCTGTCACTGTGTGAAACCTGTGACCCGAAGCCTAACGGAGAGAACGCCATCTCTGCCCGCTCTGACCTCAACCCAGCCAATGGTTCCTACCCGTTCCCAGCCCTGCGCCAGCGCTCCCATGGTGGCATCGATGTGAAGGTTTGCCACCCAGGCCACCTGTCCTTGCGGGGAGGGGATTGGGGGATGGTGGGTGGAGCAGGCACTGGGTCAGGGGTCATGTCTTGGCCTCTGTTGGGTCAAGGACATCTGCTTTGGGGTCAGCTTCAAAATGGGGCTCTGGAATCAAGGTCAGGATGAAGAGGTGAACTCCCTAGATGGACCTAACAGCTCAGTGGTCTGTTCTTCGGCCTCCAGGTGACCAGCTATTCACTGACCAAGTTCATGAGCTTGATGGCAGCCAGTGGCCCCACGTGGGACCAGGTGCCCCCCTTCCAGTGGAGCACCTCACCCTTCCACGACATGCTACACATGGGCCAACCTGACCTCTGGAAGTTCTCACCTGTCCAGGTCCTGTGGGACTGACCTCCATGTTGCCCAGCTGCCTTTGCCCTGCATAGCCTTCAGGGTCACACACCTGCTGCCCACCCCTCCGGTCTTTCCCTGCGCTGGCCCCTGGTCTTAACACAAACTCTGTGAGCTCAGAGCTCACTGTCTGTCCTTCTGCCTTTCACCCCTTCATGGCTCTTTCTATCAACTGTGTCTCTGTCCCTCCCAACAGTGGGCCAGGGCTCATACTTGGCTGAGGGCCTGGTGGGGTCCTGGGCACCCTTTGACCAGGATTGCTCCCTCTGTGTGTGGATCACAGGCTGGTGGGGCTCAGCGTCCAGTCCTAGGTATGACTCATGGTTGGTGTCATTCCTGGCCTGCAGGCCCAGCCCCTCTGTCTTCTCAGGGAGCAGTCCTTTGTCCCCTTCTGGGCAGCTTCCTTAAGGACAGAAGCTTGAAAACAAAAACCACCAAGTTTCTGGCCACTTGTGGCTGGAGGGTCCCCGGTGTCTTTTCTGCAGGGCATGTGACCTATCACCCCACACTCCTGCCTCCTGTCCTTCCCTGGCCTAGGCCTGCCCCTGGCCTCCTGGCAGTGCCCCTGGCTCCCCAATGTGGGAACCAAATCACAGGCTGTGCCACCATTAAACAGGAGAGGCCTGGCCCTGGTGTGCTTTGTGGGGCAGCAGGGACGGGGGTCAGCACTTTCTCTTCCCAGGCAAGTATGCTCACCATTCACAGGTACTCCTTGTCCATCCTTCTGGTCATCTGACCTTTCACTCCTCTGCCCGTCCACTCACCCACTGTTCGTCTGCAGTCAGCCACCTGCCCTCCCATCTGTCCACCCCACCTACTCCTTACTCATCCATTCACCCATCCACTGTCCATCTGCATAGCCAGCCACCTGCCCACTCCTCCTCCCACCCATCTACCCAATTCATTGGTCCACCTACCCGCCCATCTATTGAAGCCATCTACCAGAATTCTACATCCCTTTCCTTTTCTCGGTATTGCTATGTAACTCAGGCCTCAAACTCATGATCATCCTTCCTTCACCTCCCAAATGCTGTGATTATAAGCCCACACTCAAGCCATCTGTTCATGTTTTCCATCCATCTTTATCTGTTCACCTGTCTATCCCTCTGTATCTGTCTGTCTATCTATCCCTATACCTCTGTTTATCCATTCATCTGTCCATCCACCCACATCTTAGGTACTTCTGAGCATATACATTCTGAGCATGTTCTGGATTCTAGTCTAAGGTCCTGCTAGCCATCAAGACTTTCCTAAGTCCTGTGGCCACAGAGACCCACAGAGACCGAGTTACATCTTGGGTGGTCTCCCATGTAGTGGAAGCGGGAACAGAAAGCCTGCAGCCTACTAGTCAGAGGCCTGGGCTGGAGTCCCATTCTTTGTTGAAGGTTCAGTACCTGCCATGCTGGGCATGATTAGGAGGTTGTGGACACCTTGTTAGAAAGGTAGGGACCCTCTCTCTGTGAAGTGTGTCTCAGAAAGGTAGAAAAGGGGAACTGGTAAAAGCTAGCTTTGCCATGGCAGACCTAGCTGGCTAGGATGGAGCCTATCTCTCCACAGAGCTCTGGAGCCCAGCTCTGCAGTGTGGGGTTGAAAGACCAGCTCTTCCAGGGCCTCTATGCACACAGGCGGTCCCTGTGGCTTAGCCATGGGCCTGCATGTGTGGATCCCTGCCCTCATGCCAGCCCACTGAGTTTCGAACCCCCAGAGTGAGGGTGGGGAGTGTCCGCTGCTCCTCTGAGAGCCAGATCAGCTCCAGGGGAGGGAGAGACAAAGGCAGGAGACTGGAAATTCAAAAGACAGAGCCTTGTGCGGCAGCCGATGTCTGCTATCCCAGCACTTGAGAGGCCAAGACAGGAAGATCCTGAGGTGGAGGACAGCCTAGGCTACACATATGGAGACGCTGGGTCAAGAACAAACAAAACTCTTATGAATTGGATTTTTCCTTATAAATATATATGTTAACATATTTATTTACAGTGAAAAGTCACATTACAAAAATGAGTGAGGGAAGATGGGGCTTCTGTAGGCAGGAGACATCCTTCAGGAGGTAGCCTAGGCACACAGGTCCCCCAGCCTGCCCTGTCCTGGGCCCCTGGTATTACTTGTGGGCAGATGTCACCTTGCAAGGGTGGCTGAGGGCAGTCACAGGTATGGAAGTGGTTTGGCTCTCTGTCCCTCCTGCAGTGGTGGGTGGCATGAGGGATTGGCCATTGCTGTCTGCCAGGGGTGTAGACAGAGCCAGTCACTCAGGCAGCCGGTTCCTCAGGCCCAGCTGTGCCTTGAGTGCCTGCAGCTGGGCCAGGCTGATGTTGCTGCCCCCACAGACAACGATAACCAGTGATGCCAGCGGAGAGTGTAGCTTGCCCTCACCTTGCAGCTTGTCCACCACTTGGCTGTACACGGCAGCCAGTGCCGCCCCACATGCAGGCTCCACCAGGATCTTCTCATCATCTGTAGGGAAGGGGTATGGTGAGGGCAGGGCTAGTCTGGGCTCACCAGCCAGTCAGTGGCTAAGCCTGGGGTTCACAAGCCCCTCAACACCCAGCCTTGGCCAAGGGAACTGCCATTGGTAGAGCTTGGTGATAATTGATCCCATTAACTATCAGCCTTGGTGACTCTTTTTAGGTCATTGGTGGGGCTTGGAGGATGATGAGCCAATCAGCTGCCAGCCCCAGCCCAAACTCTACCAATAGCCTGGTGGGTCATTGTCTTTGGTCAGAAGCCAATCAGTTCTCAGCCCTGGCTGAAGAATATCCCAGGTCATTGGTAGAGCTTGGGAGAGTCACTACCCAATCAGCTCCCAGTCTTGGCTAAGGGACCTTTTGCTGAACCAAGCAGCTTCTGGCCCTGTCTGCTGACCAGACCTCCCAGGGCACCCCAGATGGGACCTTTCTGGTCGAGCAGGGTCTTGGTTTCATCACCAAGCCATCACTGAGCATGAAATGACTGTAACTGGGAAGACCTGGGCTAAGGACCCTGAGACTTCTGAGTGCCACGGATCCCAAGCGGCCAAGGCTGCAGTTTCAGGTTATAAACAAGTGGCAGCACGTGTTACTTTTACTCTTTTTCCATCTTGCCCAAGGTTGAACATGCATTACTGCCCACGTCCAAATCCAACCCTCAAACCCTTTTCCCATCTGACCCTGGCTGCCTGGAAGCTCAGCATTTTCAAGGTTTTGCTGTCCTTCCCTGTTGTTACCTGCTGTTGTGGTTACGAGGTGCACTTTCCTTTTAACCACTGAATTATGTATTCTAGGCTGGTGAGGGAGACAGAACTGGGGAGGAAAATTAGAGGTGGAAGAATCCCTTGCTACGCACCCACAAACTTCTCGATGGCGGCCACAGCCTCCTGGTCCGAGATGACTTCAGAGAAAATGGGGTGTTCGTGAAACAGTTTCAGAGCCTGTGCGCCCACGGTGTTCACACCCAAGGCCTTGGCAACACTTGGGGGTAGCAGAGGGCATGAGGAGACAGACAGGAGAGAGAGCAGGCATGGGGACAGGGAGAGAAAGAGGCAGAGGGTACATATGAGAGGCAGGGGCTGGGCAAATCCCCAAGGCCCCAGACAGCAGGGGCATCAGACTGTCCTGATGCAGAAATGCCTGAAGACATTGTCAACTCCCAGCTTATAACCTACATTGTTGATCCGCTCTGTCCACCCATCACCTGCCAACCTGACCTAGGCTCAAGATGAAGGCTGCCTCCTTTAGGGAGTCCTCCGGGGTGTCCTCAGTCCCATGGCTTCCTTAGAGTGTCCAGATGGCCCTCCCCATCCTAACAGACATGGCAAGAGTGAGTCTGTCTTTTGAATGTACCAGGTGCCACATAAGATCCCAAGTTTGCTAGGCTCAGTTTTATAGATGGGGAAATAGAGGCAGAGGCAATGCAGTGTGGACCAAGGTCACACTGACTTAGGGTTCAAAATGGCTGCTTGAGTGCCAGCTTCTGCCCCCAAACTCCATCTGGCAGGAGAGGAAGGGTAGTGGCAGTGGGGCAGTGAGCAGGCTCTGGTAGCCGGGCTGTGCTGGTAGCTGTGTGGAGGTGCCTTCTGGCTCCTGGGAGTTCGATGCGTCTCTTCCCAGTCTCTCTCCCAACTCCACCTCTCCAGGCCTGTGCCACCCTTGCCCTGAGGCAGCATGTGGCTCAATGAAGACTCAACAATCATGGCTTCTGTCCTGACAATGAGGGACAGAGGCGGGCAGCTCCCCAACCAATTGGCACATATAAATTAGAAGAATCCTTTACCTAGATTCAGCCTCCTCTGCCTGTGACAGTAACTGACATCTCCCTAGAAAGCAGTACACACAGACACTCAGCCTCCTTTGCAACTAGTTAATGTGGCCACGTGACCGAGCTCTGCCAAATACGTGGCCACATACGCAGTAGAAGAAGGTAGAGACGGCCCCTGATTGATCTGTGAGATCTCAACACAAACTAGACTTTGAAACCTGAACTTGGACTTTTCCTGGACTGTGGGTCTGTGGCACGGTTTTCTCTTGCGATGTTGGGTGACAGCCGTGAGTCAAGGCCTTCAGCCATTCATTCACAGGAGGAACCAGCCAATACTCTGCCATGTGCCTAACAGCTTAGACAGGGCATTCAGCAGGATAGGGGGATTCCGTTCATTTTTTAATTTAGATTATTTTCAACTATGATGGGTTTACTGGGCTGAAATCTCATTTTAAGTTGAGGTGCAGCCATATTTTGTCTGTCTTTAAAATTTAGGCATGGCCTTCTGCCCCCTTCCTCTTTCTGGCTAGGACTGTGGATGTAGCTGGCACTTAGGCAATCATTTTGAACCCTAAATCAACATGCTAAGGATATAGCAACAAACTCAAGAACCTGGTGACTTCCAGGAGTTAAGACAATGACCAGAAAGCCTCTGGTTTGCGGTGGTTTTGGTGACTGTTGAGTGTCTGGACGCTCGCCTCTCAAACTAAGCAGAGCTGAGAAAGACTCCATCACTCTCAAACACATCCTGATATTCCTGAATCGCTTTTCTCAGGTCTTGCTTTGTATTTCTTTTTTCTTTCTTTTTTTTTTTTTTTTATCTTTTTGAAACAGGGTTTCCCTGTAGCCCCAGCTAGCTGGAACTCACTACGCAGACCAGGCTCAAACTCACAGATCTGCCTGGCTCTGCTCCCAAGTGCTGGGATTAAAGGCAAGTGCTACCACACCCGGGTCTACACTTTAAAAAAAAAAAAAAGCTCAATTTTGTTTAAGCTGATGGTTTGGGGCTGCAGTATAAATTCTTCATGGGCAAGAATGTTTGTTCACCATCCTGTCTCACCAGTGTTTTGCATGTCTTAGAGGCCTCTGATAAGTGGCTGGCAAAGTATGTGTGAGGCGCTCAAGAGCAATTATTATTTACATCATGTAAGAAAATGTCACACCCCTTGTACAGAGTCCCACAGACTTGTGTCCAAGTCCCAGCCATACCACACATGGCTGTGTGACTTTTGGCAGGTGACCAAAGCCTCAGTTTCCCCACCCATAGATCAGGGAGACACCCCAGACACTCACCTGGTGATCTTGGGCAAGGTTACCAGCTTGCCAGCGGTGATGGCAGCATGGAAGCTGTGGGCTCCAAATGTCTCCATAGCAATGATGGGCACATCCTCCCAGCCTACCTCCCGTAGCCCCTGGACCACTCCGCACAGCAGGCCCCCGCCTCCCACAGACAGCACGATAGCTCCTGGTTTGGCGCTCAGCGTCTCTTTCAACTCTTTAACGAGCGATGTGTGGCCTTCCCTGATGGGGAGAGGGACGGCAGGTTAGGACTGGGCTTCCTGGAGATATGTGACAGGGTTAACTGGAGATGACAGATCAGGTCTACAGTTGCATCCTAGGCAGTAACAGGCCTTGGGGCCGGTCCCTGCTTCTCTTGCCCCATCCTAACCCTAGTGTTTGATGAGTGTATAGTCTGAACCACCATTCAGAGTGATGGTACTGAACATTGTGGGGGATGCCTGCTCTGAATAACAGGGTGGCCTTGACCCCCACTTACCAGATGAGGGGGTCGTCAAAGGAGGAGATGTACACCCAGCCGGGGTTGTTCTTTGCCAGGGTCTTGGCTAGCTGCGTGGCCTCTTCCAGTGTCTGCGGAGTGATGGGAGCCAGCAGAGGTTGAGACAATGCTGGCCCTGTTCAGCCTTCAGTAACCCTCTGAGCCCTGCCCATGCCTGCACTCACCTCGCCCACCACCTCAACCTCGGCACCTTCACTCCTGAGCCGCTCAATGGTGAGGGCAGGTGTGGTGCTGGGAACAACAATGGTGGCCGGGATGCCCAGCCTCCTGGCAGCATAGGCAGCTGCCATGCCTGCGTTGCCTGCTGTTGGGTGGCAATGGAGAGGGTGTGTCAGAGCAGAAGAAAGGGACTGGTCACTCCTTTCATATGAGGCTCTGGACACCCCTCTCCCCCAGATCACCATTGTCTCATTCTGAAACCCCACATCCAGCCTTGTTAATGTGTGCGTTACTGGAGAGACCAGGGCCCAGAGAGGTGAAGTGCCTGGCTAGAGGTTGCACAGTTGAGAACAGGAGGGAAGGAAAGCTGGCTGGCTGCTTACCTGAAGAGCAGACAAAATGTTTACAGCCTTGCTTTGCCCTCTGTGGAGACAAGAGGTATGTGTTAGGGGGATGTTCAGGCCACCTCCCTGTTCCTGCCTGGGTTTGCTCCTCCCATCTGAACACCTCCCATCTACACTGATCTCAGATTCCTTCTCGGTGTCTGAACCATCTGACCTCAGTTGCATCTTCTTCCCCAGGGACTGGCTAGAGGGAGGGGCAGGCAACAGTTCTTAGAGACTCTCATGAGGGGGCACTTTTTAATCAGAAGGAGCCTTACATGGGTGCTCAAACCTCACAGAAAGTTGTCCTGCCTATCCTAAAATTATTTTCTTTTAAAGAAGATTTTATTTATTTTTAGGTATGTGTTTATGTGCTTGTATGTTTGGGTTTGTACATTTGAGTTCGGTTCTCTCAGAGGCCAGAAGAGGGTGACGGACCCCTTGAGATTAGAGTTGCAGGCAGTTAGGAGCTTCCATGTGGATGCTGGGAACTGAACCTGGGTCCTCTGCAAGAACAGCAAGTGCTCTTAGCTGTTGAACCATCTTCTTTAGCACCTAAAATTATTTTCCTTTTTGGAGACAAGGTGTCCCTATGCAGCTCCATTTTCCTGCCTCAGCCTATTGAGTACTGGGATCCCAGATGTACACTCCCAAACCCAGCTCTAGCATTGTTAGAGAAGAGGGACCCTCCCACACCCATGGCGTCACTCTGCCCTGTACCGTCTTGCAGAGGTGCCCAATGCCCCGGATCTTGAAGGAGCCGGAAGGTTGGGAGCTGTCCATCTTGAGGTACACACTGGTGCCGGCCAGCTTGGACAGTGCCATACTGTCACGCACAGGGGTCTTCACGTGCAGGGTCTCTTGGGTTGCCATGGCTGGGAGGCAGGAAGGAGATGCAGAGGGTTAGGAGGGGGCAGTGTCAGGGGCTGCCCTCCTGGTGACTCCTACCTTCACACCCCAGGAGGCCAGGAAAGGGCAAAGACTCAATCTCAGCCAGGCCACCTACATGCCTAGTGGCACAGGCAAGTGTCTTCTGCAGTGCTAGCTCTCACGCTGGTCCCCTGGGAGGCCGTGAGCTCAGAACTGTCCTCAGACTTTGCAGTCTTGGGAAAGTTCAGGTGAAGGGGCTTGCAAAGCGTGGCTGGGGTAATGACCATCTGTTTCTTCAAAAATCACCAGGAACCCCCCCCCGCCCCCATCCACTCTTCCATGCACTCAGGGTGGCTCAGCAAATACAAAAGAAATGGGCCAAGTGGGGTCCCTGCAGGGAGGGGCCCCTGAATCCACAGCAGCACCCTGTATTCTGAGCGTTTTGCCATATGTATATATGTATGTATATATGTATACCATATATATGTATATCACTCATTTGAACACATAACGTGGTGCATGTGTGCACACACAATGTGGAGGCCAGAGGTTGACCACAGGTGTCTTTCTCAATCTCTCTCCATCTAGTTTTTTGAGACAGTGTCTCTCACGTGGCTGCCCCAAGAATCCCATCTCCTCCTCCCTGGCACCAGGGCTGCAGGTGTACACTGTTATGCCAAGCTTTATTTTTTTATTTTTTATTTTTTGTCTTTTTTGAGACAGGGTCTCCTTGTAGCCCCAGCTGTCCTGGAACTCACTATGTAGACCAGGCTGGCCTCGAACTCACAAAGATCTGCCTGCCTCTGCCTCCCGAGTGCTGGGATTAAAGGCGTGCACCACCATGCCTGGCTTTTTTATTTTTTTTTACATGAGTGCTGGGGATCTGAACACAAGTCCTCATGCTTGCACAGCAAGCCCTTCACAGACCCAGATATCTCCCCAGCCCACACACTTTTTTGTTTTTAAAAATTAGTTTTGGGGGCGGGAGAGATGACTCAGCAGTTAACAGCACTAGCTGCTCTTAACCCAGGTTCAGTTCCCAGCACCCACATTGTGGCTAACAACCATCTGTAACTCCAGTTCCAAGGGGATCCAGTGACCTCTTCTGGCCTCTGTGGGCATTGCACAACACGAATGCACTTATATACATGCAGGCAAAACACTCATGCACATAAAATAAAAATAAGTATATAATTTTTGGTTTGTTTGATTTCTTGAGACAGGGTCTCCTTGTAGCCAGAGCTAGCATTGAACTTGCTATGTAGACCAGGCTGGCCCTGATCTCATAGAGATCTGCTTGCCTCTGCCTCCCAAGTGCTGAGATTAAAGGTGCGAGAAAAAGAAAGAAAAAACAAAAGATAGGCTATCACTATCTAGCCTAGGCTTGTCTTGAACTCATGATCCTCCTGCCTCAGCCTCCTGAGTGCTGGGATCAACAGGTGTGTGCCAGCATCACCAGGCCTTGTATTTAACATATACATTAACAAAAAATATTTATTTTTATTTTATGTGTATGAGTGTATTATCTGCGTGTATGTAAATGCACCTCTGTCCATGCAATGCCCACAGAAGTCAGAAGAGGGCGTCAGATCCCCTGGAACTGGAATGATGAATGGTTGCTAGCCACCATGTGGTTCTGGGAATCAAACCCCCACCCTCTGCAAGAGCAGTCAGTGCTCTTAACCTTAACTGTTGAGCCATCTCTTCAGCCCCTTAATACATACATTTTTCAAAAAATATTTTATTACTTTTATGTGTATGTGTGTATTGCCTGCATGCAGGTAAGTGCACCCCTGTTATGCAATGCCTGTGGAGGTCAGAAGAGACTGTCAGATCCCCTGGAACTGGAGTTACAGACAGTTGTTAGCTGCCATGTGGGCGCTGGGATTCAAACCTGGGTCTTCTGCAAGAACAACCAGTGTTCTTAACTGCTGAGCCATCTCTCTAGCCCCATTACATACGCTTTAAAACATGAATTTTTGAGTGCTGGAGAGATGGCTCAGTGGGTAACAGCATTGGCTGCTCTTGCAGAGGACCCAGGTTTGATTCTCAGCACCCACATGGCAACTAACAACCATCTGTAACTCCAGTTCCTGCAGATCCCATGCCCTCTTCTGACACTTACATACATGTAGGCATTACACTCATATACATAAATTAAAAATAATACACAAAATATTAAAAAATGAATTTTTGCATTGGGGTGGTGGTACACCTGTAATCCCAACACTGGGAGGTAGAGGCAAGAGGATCAGCTGTTCAAGGTCATCCTTGGCTACATAGTGTTGAGGGTTGCTTGGGCTACAAAAGACCCTGTCTCAAAAAAAAAAAAAAATGGGGCTGAAGAGATGACTCAGCAGTGAAGAGCAGTGACTTCAGCTCCCAGCACCCACATGGTGGTTAACGACCACCCATAACTCCAGTTCCAGGGGATCTGACACCCTCTTCTGACCCCTACTAACATTGCATGACACAGGTAAACTTACATGCAGGCAAAACATTCAAACACATAAAAATAAATAAAAATAAAAAGACTCTAGGATTGAGCTAGGAAAAGCCCTTGTCATTGCTTTTACAGTACTAGAGCATTTATGTTTCCTGCATAGACCCTTGGCTCCCTCTTGGCTCCCATCCTGTGCAGGAGGAAGCCCCACTGGCAGAGGGTTACTCAGGTCCAGTTGACAGCACCCTTGGCTTCCTTTGGTGGCTGTGACAGTGCAGGAAGCCTTTGGGCTGACAAGGGCTCAACCACTGTCACCTTGCAGCCCCGAGTGAGACCCAGGGCTGAGCCTGCTCAAGCCCCAGGACCCAGGGTGACTGCGTATGAGGCAGGGTTTTGTTACATAGCCTAGGCTGGACTTGAACTCCTTGTCATCCTCCCACTTCAGTCTCCCAAGTGCAGAGATTACAGGCAGGTGCTCCTTCATGAAAATCAAAGAATGGTACCCCAAGCAAGGTCACCTCCAAATTTGTTTGCATTATCCTTCAGCTCCTGGAGGTTACCCCAAACACTGACACGGGGATCCTGAAGCCCTGGATCTGGAAGACCGTGTAGCTCCCTAAGCTCAGTCTGTTTCAGCTTCTGGCTAGAATGGAGGGACTCCCACCATGAAGACCCCTTCCAGATGGTTCTGGGGAGCCCCACCAGGTCCCAGGATGCAGCATCGAGAAGCGGGCACAGGACACCCCTTCTGATTCCACCCCAGGAACCTGTGCCATGGCCTCCCATAAATCTTGAGTCTTGAGAAAGTAAAACACCAGGGTCTTCCAAAGGTAAGGGTCACAAAACTGGGTCTGTTTAGCCAAGTGCGGGGTCTGGAGTCACTCCTTGGCCACTGGCTCCTGCAGGCGCTCACATAAATGACAGTCTGTTATTTTTGACCCGCAGTGTCACATCCTAACCTGACAGGCATCCTGAACAGGACGGTCCTGCTATCGTCCCATTTTACAGCTGAGAAAAACTGACTCGCTCCTCTTCCCTCCTCACCTGGGACCCCACTGGCTTGTCTCTGGCAGTCAGTCCTGGGGTACTGCTGAGGCTGGGGCCGCTTACCAGGCACGGAAGGAGCTGGACAGAGCAAGCGAGAGTGGTGGATTGGGTCGGAGGGTCGGCAGGCAGACTGTTCAATTGTTGCCTGGACTCTGGGTCCCACGTCTTTATTCCTCTGAGGCGCCTCTGGGCAGCCAATGGGGGCCGCGGCCGGCCCCGCCCCCGACAGATCCCGCCCCTTTATCCAGGCAGTGGAGGCTGTGGAGTGTAGACTTCTCTAGAGCCATCTTCCTTCCATCCTGTCCTCTTCCTCTCTCCACCTCCCGTCCCTCCCTCATTGGTTTTTCACTTGCAAGTGGTTTCCCTGGGACCTGCAGGATGGCACTTGGTGGCGCTTCAGGCTGTGGGGGTTTGTCCCCAAAACGTAAATAAATAAATAAATAAATAAATAAATAAATAAATAAATAAATAAATAAATATCTGTGGCAGGTCCTCAGTGCATAGTTTAGTCTGAGCCTAAGAGACAATCACAGCCAGCCAGCATGTAGCTCACATCTGTAATCCCAGCCTCAGCTACACAGTGAAACCTTGTCTCAGAAAAATCACAAAACTTCAACAAAGGGCTAGAGATAGTTCAGCGGTTAAGAGCACTGCCTGCTCCCCCAGAAGACCCAGGTTTGGATCCCAGGACCCTCATGGCAGCTAACAAAGAGGTCTGTTAACTCCAGTTCCAGGGGCTCCAATACAGCTCTTCTGGCCTCCACAGGCTTTGTACGACTTACATACATGCAGGCACAGCACTCATGCATATAAAATAAAAAAATAAAAAAAATTATAAAAATATGAAACTAACAAAAACCAAAAAATGAAAAATGATCTGTTGGTTCCAGTGGGAGCTGCCTGGGTTTGGACCCTGCCTCTGACCTCTGTGGCCTCTCTGGGAACCTGGCAATCCTCCAGACCTCTTCACTGTGGTCACTTGCTAAAACCCTCCTTTGATGGGGTGGGAACCTCCTGGAACCTGCTCAGGCTCCATGATAGCGATGTCTGTGACCAACTCCTAACGTGCGTCATTCCCAGTGACAAACAGTCTCTACTGAACCCTGGTGTGTAAAATCGGCCAAGGTCAGGACCCCAGGCTGCTTTGAACCTTGCCTTGGGGTTATCTTCTATGGTGACCCATGACAGACTCCCTAAGAAAATGTGGCTACAGCTTATTCCAAGTGGGGATGTCTGCAGCTTGACAGCTTCACCCGGCTCCTGCGGTTGCAGACAAAGCCTCTTGATTCTGTACTTAGTTTGAGGTGACAAGAGGCTTCTCATGTTCTAGGGGCAACAAAGGAGCTGGGTAGTGACTGTTCTGTCACCTAGGAGTCCTCTGTTCTCCAGTCTGTGTCTCCTTGTCCAGCCCCAGGCTTCCCCTTCCAACACAGGTGTAGGGCAAGGGGGTGGGGTGGGGGGTGTCTTCCCCTCAATGTTTAGGTCTCAGTCATAAACTTCCATTTCTCTGAAGTCCGAAGATTTTGGTTCTGTTTTGTGAGACAGGGTCTCGCCCAGGCTGTCCTCGAACTCTCCACCCCCTTGCCTCAGCCTTTTGAGTGCTAGGATTGCAGGCAGGAACCACCACGCCTGGCTTTCCTTTTCTTTTTTCTAAGGTATCCTGAGCAATTATTTGGGTTGATAGACCCAGATCTAATTTAACCTTTTGATGATTGCAGGCATTTCCATGGTCAAACTATTCCGTGGGGAGTGGTGCTGATTTTTGCAAAACTGGGGGTTTAGCCCAGGGCCTCATGCTTGCTGCACCAGTGTTCTACCACTGAACTACGTACATCCCCTGATATTGCTTCTTTGCTTCTAGTATTTTTTTTTTTTGAGACAGGATTTTGCTAAGTAGCCCAGGCTGGCCTCAAACTGTCCATTCTCCTGTGTCAGCCTCCTTAAAGGTGGGATTAGCAGTATACACCACCATGCCCAGTTTAACTATGAATTTTTGTTTATTTGTTTTGTTTTAAGGCATGAGTTTATGTAGTCCAGGCTGGACTTGAATTTCCTTTCTAGCCAAGGATGACCTTGGACTTCTGATTCTCCTGCCTCTGCCACCCAAGTGCTGGCATTACAGACTTGAACCATCATATCTGCATCTTAGTTACAAATGCTTTTTTGATTTATTTACTTTTTATTTTATATATTTGAGTATTTTGCCTGCATGTATGTAAGTATACCACGTATATGCAATGCCTAGGGAGGCCAACACAGCATTGGATTCCCTGGAACTGGAGTTTTGGATGGTTGTTAACCATCATGTGGGTGCTGGGAACTGAACCCAGGTCCTCTGGAAGAGCAGCCAGTGCTCTTAACTGCTGAGCCATCTCTCCAGTCTCTTAGCTATGTATTTTTATGTTTCCTGAGAGGAGCACCTAGGTTGAATGTGCCTCAAACCTCGGTCGGCAGTCTCTCTGAGGGCAGTGGTCGGTCGGCGGTCTCTCTGAGGGCAGGCCAAAGCCACTTTAACTTGTTACTCCTCAGCTCACCTTTAGTACCAGTCTCCTCCCCTTGTCCAGGGCAAATTAAGGGTCAGGGACAGGCTGTTCCTGTACCACAGTCTCAAACTTAAGTACATCCAAGATGGGGCTAGAGAGATGGCTCAGTGGTTAAAAGTACAGGCTACTCTTGCAGAAGACCTGGGTTAGGTTCTCAGCACCTGAAGGTCACTTCACAACCATCTGTAACTCCAGTTCTAGGGGATTTGGCATCCTCTTATGGCCTCCATACACGCAGGTAAAATACTCGTACATAAAATAAAAATAAATAAAAATTAAAACAAATTTTAAGAAGTACATCCAAGGGTCCAGCAAGGGGGTGATGGGTGCTGGGCCACAGCAGAGTGAGGACGTGGTGACTGTGGGCCTCAGTCCTCCAGAGGGGCTGGTGTGCCTTGGCTGGCACAAACATGCCTGAAGGTGGGATGGGAGTCTCTGGTCGGCAATGGTCTAACTTCTTGGTTAGGGCTGTGGAGCCTTTGAACTTGGCCAAGGTGCTGTGTTGGGCGAATCACTGCTCACTGTCTGTACTGGTGGCTTAACCTATCAAGTCCCTGTGCCCATCTGGTGGCTCAGAAGGTGTATGACAGGGCTGGAGAGATGGCTCAGCGATTAAGAGCACTGGCTGCTCTTGTACAGGATCTGGGTTTGATTTCCAGCACCCATATGGTAGCTAACAAATGTCTGCAACTCCAGTTCCAGGGGATCTGACACCGTCTTCTGACCTCTGCTGGCATTGCATGACACAGGTGCACTTACCTACATGCAGGCAATATACTCATACACATAAAATAAAAATTATTTTTTTAGGATTAATCAGCAACCCAGAGGACTTTCCACAGTGACTGTTTTGTGGCCTGAGGTATCAGGGACAAGAACTGGCTGACAAACATGGCAGTGGCCTGGCCCAGCTGTCCTCCCCCCATGCTCTTCCTCATTACAGTCAGCAGTTCTAGAGGCTCAGCCTTTTGATGGGCCACTGCTATGTGACTTTGGGACAGCGACTTGGCCTCTCTGAGCCTGTTTCCTTGGTGCAGGGATCACTGAATTGCCCATTTTCTCCAGGTAGTTGTACATTCTGTGATGATAATGACATCACAGGCCTCTGGGCCATTTTTGCTGTATTGCCATGTGACCTCTTTTATAACTGTACTAATGACAGCAGAAGCCACGTCAATCAGCACCGAGCACCAACTGAAGGTCCTGGTGTCTCAAACACATCAGCTCCACCAGGATAGAACCCCATGTCCCTCCCTACAGCTGAACAAACAAGGCACAGAGAGGTTGAGCGACTTTCTCAAGGCCACATGGCCAGGAAATGGTGGAACTGCTATGCACAGCTGAGCTTGGCTCTGGAGTCTGTGGTCTACACATCAAACATACACTGCTTTCCTACTCCAGCCCCACCCCCCACGTCTACACTGCTTTGTTTTCATTTTTATGAGCTTGGCTCTGGAGTCTGTGGTCTACACATCAAACATACACTGCTTTCCCACTCCAGCCCCACCCCCCACGTCTACACTGCTTTGCTTTTATTTTTAAATCGCAGTGTGTGTGTGTGTGTGTGTGTGTGTGTGTGTTGGCCCCAGTACATGTGTGGGGGTCAGAGGACAGCCATCAAGATTTGGTTCACTCTTTCTACCATGTGGGTCCTGGGGATTGAACTCAGGTTGTCAGGCTTGGCAGCAAGTGCCTTTATCTGCTAGGCCATCTCGCCAGCCCTGTTTTGTTTCTTAAGACAGTCTTGCTAATAAGCTCTGACTGGCCTTGAATTCATGTCTATTCTCCTGCCTCAGCTTCCTGAGTACTGGGATTACAGGTGTATGCCGGTCCATTGGGCTTGTCCTAACACTTAATAGTTTTTAAAAAATTATTTTATTTTTATTATTTTAAATTATGTGTCTGTGCTTGGGTATGTGTGTGTGAGTGCAGGTACCAGCAGAGACCAGGAGAGGGTGCCAAATCTGGAGCTGGAGCTACAGGTGATTGTGAGCTGCCTGATATGGGTGCTGGGAACCAAACTCAGGTCTTCTGGGATACGTCATCTCTCTAACCCTTCAAGTGTTTTTCTATTATTTATTTATTATTTATTATTTTATGTGTATGAATGTATTGCCTGCATGTATATTATGCACCCATATTGTGCAATGCCTCGGAGGTCAGAAGAGGGTGTTACGGATTCCCTGGAACTGGAGTTACAAACTGTTGTTAGCTGCCATGTGGGGGGTGCTGGGAACAGAACGTGGGTCCTCTGCAAGAGCAGCCAATGCTCTTAACTGCTGAGCCATCTCTCCAGCCCTTTTTTTTTTCTTCTTAAGACTCCATTATTGGGCTGGAGGGTGTAGCTTAGTTGGTAGAGCACTTGCGTAGCATGCCCAAAGCCACAGGTTCCATCCCCAACACTGAGTTAAGCCAGGGCTGGCAGCTCACACACTGCCATACTCCCAGCATTTGGGATCAGAGGGACATAAGACATTCAAAGTCATCTTCATCTACATAGCAATTTGAGGCCAACGTGGGCTACATGAGATACTGTTTCAAGAAAACCTAAAAACCGAAACCCCAAAACACAGTTCTTAGGAGACTCTCCAGTGCTAGTGGGGGTTGGGGGGTTGGGATATGCTGTCAGCATAAAAGAAATGGTATGCAGTAGGCATGCAATAAATACAACTGTCATGCTTCTATGTAAACCTGAGTTCTTCCTTCACCAGGAAGTCCCCCAAATCCCATCCTAAAAATGCTGCCCATGGTGACCTTCTTCCCTGTCCTCTCTGTGTCCCCAGTGCCTCTTGTAGGACATGGCACCTGCCAAGGACAGAGTAGGGGGTGTTAACGTGAGGCAGAGGTGAATCGAACAGGGTCTTCATCACAGATGAAGCGTCTCTATGTGACCCCAGGTGACCAGGAGTTAATCATCAAACCTGGGGATCACATGCAGCCAAGGAGGACACAGGGACACCTGGACTGCCTGGTCCCTCCTGAATCTTAGCTCTCATTTTACAGAAAGGGAAACTGAGGGCCAAGATGTACACAAGGTCTCAGTATTGCCCAGTGGGATGGGGAAAGAGGAGATATGGATTTGTTCCTGGTGTCAGTCTGCTGCCTAAAACCATCTGTGGCTCCCTATTGCCTGGGTGAGACACAAAGCCCAGGTTAGCATAAGATCTCTAGGGATTCTGGCCTCTCCTGTCTCTATTTCTGTCCCTCCAACTACTCCCTTTTGAGCATGTGTGTATTTGTTTGTGTGTGTTCAGGGGCACACTTGTGTGCTTGTATATGGAAGCTAGGGGTCAACATCTGGTGTCCTCCACTTTTTTTTTTTTTTTGGTATTTTTGAGACAGGGTCTCCTTATAGCCCCACCTGGCCTGGAACTCATTATGTAGACCAGGCTGGCCTTGAACTCACAGAGATCTGCCTGCCTCTGTGTCTGGAATACTGGGATTAAAGGTGTGTGCCACCACACCCTGCTCCACTTTGTTTCTTTGTTTCTTGAGAGCCTCTCACTGAACCTGGAGTACACTGATTTGCTGGACTAACTGGCCAGAGAACTCTCCATAGTTTCCAGTTTTTACCTCCCTGCAGTTGGAATGGCAGGTGCACCACCTCTCTGGCTTTTTTACATGGGTGCTGGAGATCTGAACTCAGGTCCTTGCTGAGGCAAGCACTTTACACACAAAACCAGCTCCCTTCCCCCCTCTAAATACTTCTGAACATGGCACTCTTTCAATTCGCTTTCCCCCTACCTGAACTTTAGGCCTGCCTGGGCTCCTGCTGCCCCACCTCCTGTCTACCTGCTGCCCAGCCCTGGCATCCTAAGGGCTGGGCCAAGGAAGGGACACCCTATCTTGTTTGAGGTTAAAGGTCCCAGGGCTTGGCATGTGGTAGGTGTCCAGTAAATGTTTATTTATTGAATTCGTGAATGAGCTAGCAGTCATTGATTTGAACAATAAATAACAGCAGTTTCCTATGTTGGCTGTGACATAGCATCGATTCAGACATGATCCTAGGGCTACCCTTCCTACCTGATAGTATGTTTCCACCTCAACCTTATTTTCTCAGATGTTACTAACCCCAGTATGGTCTAGCGGGGCAGCCTGACCTGGGGACAGTCCTGGACTTGGAGTAGGATGGGGGTGGTCCAAGGTGAGGAGTGGGAAGCCCCTTGCTGCCTGGGCCCCTGTGGATGTATGTCTCTCTTCCCAGAAAGAACCAGATCGTTCAGTGGCTACAGGCAACAAACACATGGGGACAGGGAAGTTGAATTTAGTCCCTTGGGTTTCTCTGAAATGCCACCCCCGCCAAGCCCTCACGGGAATCCTGGGGTCAGGAGCTGTCCCTTTAACAAGGAGGAGGGGCCAGGCCCTGATGGCGGAAGTTGATCTGATGGCCTCAGAGGAGGAGGCGAGGCGGGACTGGGTGGCTGTGCTAGTCTGTGAACTGTCCTTGGAAGGTAAGGGTGGCTTGTGGGAGTGGCAGATGGGGGCATGTGAGGGGTGATGAGTGGGCATGAGGGTGGCTGTGCCCCAGGAGCATCTGTCCAGCTCCTGTCACCCCACAGGAAAAGTTGGGTGCTGCGGATCCTGAGGGTGGACAGCAGGCTATGAATCTTTCCTTGGATTCAGCTTTCCAGGTATGTGTGTATGAGGTCCTGGGGACCAGGGAGATGGACAATGTGGGTGGTCTTTACTCGTGACTCCTGGAGGAAGTGACTGGGCCAGGGTCACAGGACAAGGACCCAAGCCTGAGTACCTCCCTCTACTGCCATGCCCAGGGCAGGGGTCCCAGGCTCCTCCGGCTCAGCCCCAGCCAGGGAGGGCTGTGTGTCCCTGGACCTTGGCTTCAGCTGAGTTCCTGCCCCAATGGGCTCTGACTGTGATGAAGCTGCCCACATCGTGAGCCTGGTCTATTCTCCTGATGACTGCTGTCACCAAGAGGGGCAGATAGGTCTGGGGTCAAAGCTGAAGGCTTTGACTCCTAAGAGGAATTGTCAGCAAAGAAACAAATACCCTCACCTGTAACAACAACAACAAAAGAGTCCAGCGGTTAAGACTCCACATAGCATGAAACGCAGGCCTGGGTTTGAACTCCCAGCCTCAGTCCCTGTGGTGTGGCCTTGTACATCAACCCCTCTGGGCCACACTGGTTATAAAATGGAGTTAAACACAGGACCTTATCTCAGAGTTTCTAGAGCATTCTGTGAGATACTAACAAAGGTGCTGGGCACTGTGCCTGGCTCCCAGAGAGCCCTGCAGGATGCTTAGCTCTTACTACGCCCTATCAGGAAGCTGCACAGAGCCACATCCAGTGTGCGGCGGGCTTAGCTTCTTATTTTTTCAGTTCCAAGAGGCCTTTCCTGACCTCTAAACCCAAAGGAGGCCCTTTCCTGAGTCTTTAAGATTCCCTGCATGTGTGTGTCCCCACACAGCAACTTTCACCATTTCTTATTATTTTGTTGGTCTCTATCAGATCTCCTCATCAAACTACAAGTCAGCTCCAAGGTGGATTTCTGTCTTTGGCACTATGCTGTCTCTAGGTCCCAGGCTCCACCAGTCTGTACATTGTAGGTGCCCTGTAGACCAGCCACGGTGGGGTGAGCATGCCAGCATTATTAGAAGGTCCTAGGGATGTAACCTGTCCAAGGAACTCAGCTTGGCACAACAGGGATTTAGTAGGTAGTAGTCATTATCATGAATCCACACAGTCTGTGAGTTTGGGTTTGCATTTGCTCCTATTTTTTTTTAATTAATTAATTAATTTTTTTATTTTATGTGTATGCGTGTATTGCCTGCATGTAGGTCAGTGCATCTGTGTTGTGCAATGCCCGCGGAGGTCAGAAGAGGCTGTCAGATCCCCTGGGACTGGAGTTACAGACAGTTGTTAGCTGCCATGTGGGTGCTGGGATTCGAACCCGGGTCTTCTGCAAGAACAACCAGTGTTCTTAACTGCTGAGCCATCTCTCCAGCCCTGAATTTGCTCCAATTTTACAGAAGGGAAAACAGGCATAGTGAGGTTAAGACTTATTTGAGTCACGCAGTCAAAGGAGTCAAAATTGGAGGTGGGGGCTGTTCTGTCTTTGCCTTGTCTAGGGAGTTTGGGGGCCACCCTGACAGGGTCAGACCCATGGACCCCCGGTGTTCTCTGATTTGAGAAATGCATGAAAAAGGATGCTTGAGAGGTTCAGGTTCTTATGCAGGTGGGATGGGATGCACATCGCCCCCTGGTGGCTCATAGTGGAACTGTGGGGGCCCACCCAATCTTTTCTGTCCTAGAGGGGGAAAAAAATAAAAAGAGGGGACATTTTTGTCCCTGTTTGTTTGGTGGTCTGGTTTGGGTTAAAACAAGAACTCACTACATAGATGAGACTGAGACTGACCTGAGCTCACTATGTAGCCCAGGCTGGCCTTCGATCTTCCTGCTTAGAACTCCTTTTTTTTTTTTTTTTTCAAATTTTCCTTTCTTATTTCTTTCCTCCTCCTCCCCCTCCTCCTCCTCTTCCTCCCCCTCCCCCTGTAGCCCCAGCTGATCTGGAACTCACTATGTAGACCAGACTGGCCTTGAACTCACAGAGATTCACCTGCCTCTGCCTCCCGAGTGCTGGGATTAAAGGTATGTGCACATGCCCTCTTTCTTATTTCATTAAAACATTTTGAGTTTTAAAAAAATATGTGTACAAGGGTTTTGTTTGCCTGTATGCAAGTGTACAACATGCGTGCAATACCTGTGAAGGCCAGAAAAAGGCGTCATATCCCTTGGAGCTGGACTAATACTCCAGTTCTCTTAACTGCTGTGCCATCTCTCCAGCCACACTCTTTGCTTTTAGAGACACACTTACAGAGCTGATAACCTGGAGGAGGGGGTTCTGCTGCTAAAGGGAAGCAAAAGATATTGAAGGGGTATGGCCTCCCTGGAGTGTGCTTAATCAGTGTTTCTTTTGGAAAAAAAATATATATATATATATATATAGTGAATGAATGAATTCTCTTACTTTTTGGTCACATTCTACATCCCCAGCACTGTGGGTAGCCACAGGCACAAAGTGAACAGCACCCAGGTGATCTGTCTTGTTCCAATGCAAAAATTGAGGCCCAGAGAAGGGCCTGGTTGGGGCATCTTGCCTGGATTTCCTAGTTTGGCAGCTAGATGGGGTTGTGGGTGCCTGGCTCAGGGTCCTTGCCCTCCTGTCACAGATGAAGGGTCCCAAACTTGCATGTCTCCTGCAGGTTGTCTGTGTGGCCAATGGAGTCCGAGCCTTTCCACAAGGTCACGCCTCTGCTGGAGAGCTGGGCGCTGTCCAGAGTGGCGGGTATGACAGTCTTCCTCAAGTGTGAGAATGTGCAGCCCTGTGGCTCCTTTAAGATCCGGGGCATTGGGCATTTCTGCCAGCAGGTGAGGGCCTGTGGGCAGGAGGGGAGACTGGGCAGGGGCAGGATGGAGGGGAGGAGTGTTGGGTATGGATGGGGCATCTAGCCACATCTCACACAGGTCTCCATGATGCCTGCTTGGGTGAGCCCCAATTTCATCCTTTCTCTCCCCAGATGGCCAAGAAGGGCTGCAGTCACCTGGTCTGCTCCTCAGGTGACCCTACCCTCTGTCTGCTTCACTGGGGAGTCCTGGGACTGGGGCGGGAGCAGGGTGCTGGGTGAGGCAGTGGCTTGCCTTCCTCTTTCTTTTCCTTCCTTCCTTTCTTCCCTCTCTCCCTCCTTCCCTCTCTAATTCTCTCCCTCCCTCCTTCCCTCCCTCCCTTCCATATTTTAGACTCTTTGAGACAGGATCTCATAATGCCCAAGCTGGCCTTAAACTATGCAGCCAAGGTTGGTGAACTACTGATCCTCCTGCCTCTACTTCCTGAGTACTGGGATTGCAGATGTGCACCATCAGGCCCCACTTGGCTTTCTCTCAGAGACCCAGCTTTCCAACAGCCACCTCATCTGTCCTCTCTTAGTTCCTTTCCCATAATCCAAGACTTGTGGTGGTCAAGATGACAGAGACCCAACTCATAGAGGTTCAAGCTATAGGCTACAAGCTCTGAATGTTCTCAGGATAAATGGCTTTCAGGCACAGCTGGATCCAACAGGGCTCTACTGTTTCCTTATTTTTCTTTTACTCTTTTCTCTTTTCTTGTGTGACATACTCACCCCTGAACCAATCATAGGTCAGGAGGGTGAGTTCTCTGATTGACTCTATGTTTTTCCACCTCTGGACTAGAGGGAGGAGCCAGTGGTGGGGCAGACACACAAGTGGCTGTTAAAGGGAAATGGGGGCATGTGAAGCGGCTGATACACCTGCTTTTGTTGCGCTCCTGCCACTCCCAGGGGGCAATGCAGGACTTGCTGCTGCCTACTCTGCTCAGAAGCTGGGCATTCCCGCCACCATCGTGCTCCCAGAGAACACCTCCCAGCAGGTGGTGCAGCGCCTGCAGAGTGAGGGGGCTGAGGTCCAGCTGACTGGAAAGGTAAGGAACACAAGGAGGGGAGCACATCTCACCCCGCCCCAGGGCATTGCCTCCTTTGTCTTTCGATGAACACTGGAGCTAGATTTTCTGGTCTTTGGTCTTCTATCAGGAGGGCAGAGAGGAAGGGTGGGAACAAAGGGCAGTGGACTTTGAGGGCTGCTCTGAGATGTACCAGAGAAACAGTCCTATCAGAGGGCGGGGGAGTGTTTGGCTTCGTCCTTGTCAGCACTTGCTATTGGCAAATGAAATGTTTGCCTTTTGATAAGACAAAAGAATGAAGGTGCTAGCTGCACTGTTTCTTGTTCTGAGACCCCAGGAAGAAGGGGATCACTGCAAGAACGTCACTTTTACCTAAGAAGTAGAGATTCAGACACGGGGCCTCTGCCTTCGGAAGAGGGGGACAATTGTTAAGTAGCTAGAACATTGAAGTCCTTAGAGTGAGACTACAGGTTGTACCATGTTCCCCAAGCCTGTCTCTAAACACTGTGCTATGCAGTTTCCCTTCCTTCTTCCATTGCTCTCCCTCCCTTCCTCCTGCTTCTTTCTTTCCTACCCTCTATCAACCACTCACCCATCCATCCATCCATCCATCCACCCACCCATCCATCCATCCATCCATCCATCCGTCCGTCTGTCCATCCATCCATCCATCCACTCATCTATCTGTACATCTATCTGTACATCTATCCATCCACCCAATCATTCATCCACCTATCTGTTTGACTGTCCATTCGCTCAACCACCTATCTATCCATCTGCCATTCACCCATCTATGCACCCACTGACCACCTATCCATTTATCCAGTCTAAGCACCTCCTTATACTTACAATTCATTCATCCACTTTTCCCATCCACCTTTCTACCTGTCCATTCCATCAACCCGCCAATCCACCCATCTGTCCATCCATCCATCTATCCATCCATCTGTCCACTCACTTATCTACCTACTGATCCATCCATCCATCCATCCATCCATCCATCCATCCATCCATCCATTCATCCACTCAACCACCTGCTGCCCCATCCAACAGATACTCAATGTGCACACTCTGATCCCAGTACATTCACAGTTTGGGGTTATACAAAGATCTTAAGATATGATCTTTTCTCCAAAGAAACTCAGAATATCTTGAGAGAGACACACTGGTCATAAGTCGTGACTAGGCCTTTGCTGGGAGGTGCCAGGGCCCCAAGGAAGACAGAGAAAGCAAATGTTTCTAATCAGCTACCATGGCTAGAAAATACTTTGTAAGCGGCAATGGCTCTTGATAAGCACCGCCTCCTGAGTGGGCTGAGGGAGCTCTGCTTCAGCCACGATGAGATGAAGGTCTGTGGAGGTACCTTTATCTTCATTGGCCAGTAGCTCATTCTTCTCAAGGTCAAAGACAAGAGTGGGGAAAAGACGTGGGTGATGCCTCTTATGACCTTGGCTCTGTTCATTCTGTTGACTGCCGTTGGCCAGAGCAAGTCACATGGCCAGGACCAGCGCCAATGGGACAGGAAGACAGTCTGCCTGTGCCAGTGGGGAGGATGCAGAGCCGCAGTGTCTTGTGGACACATGAACACGTGGTTCTAATAAACCGAGGGAGGGACGAACTGGGCATGGTTCAAACATCCAAGGCCATGCCTTAGGCTTGGGAAGGGGATTCAAGGAAGCCTCTGAGAAGCTCCCCTGTGGGATTTGAAAGAGAACTAGCTTCCCACTGAAGAGGAATGAGAGGGCATAAGCAGAGGGGCAGAGAGTGTGGGAAGACCTAGGATCACAGCCTGGTGCTCCTGCCCAGAGCTGGGCCCCAGGGAAGAGGTGACGGCCAGGCTTATGAGTTTCCCTATCAAGAAGGGTGATCTGTAGGTGAAACAAATATTTTTTAAAAAATATTTTATTATTTTAGTTTTCTGTGTATGAATGTATTGCCTGCATGTATGTGAGTTCACCCGTGTCCTGCAGTGCTGCAGAGGTCAGAAGAGGGCTTCGGATTCCCCTGGAACTGGAGTTAAGGAGGGTTCGTAGCCACCACGTAGGTGCTGGGAATCGAATGCGGGTCCTCTGCAAGAGCAGTCAGTGCTGTTAACCACTGAGCCATCTCTCCAGCCGGAAACAAATCCTTTCAAACCTGAGGACCAGGAATGAATTTAGAGCAGGAGAGAGAATGAGTTGAAGTTTCACTGAACTTGCTCAGAAGTAGTGGGAGGCAGGCAGGACAGATGGGGGCATCAAGGGCTGCTGTGAACTTGAGGTGAGACAAAGGCTACATGGATTGGAATCAAAGCTTTGTTCCAGTAACTCTGGAGAGGGTCTTGGAATGCAGTTTGGTAGCTCAAGGGCTACTGGCCGAAGAAGATAAAGGCACCTCCACAGACTTTCATCCCAGCATGAACTGGTCTGGGTTCAGTCCTCAGCACTGTATAAACCAGGTACCCACCTGTAATCTCAGCATTCAGGTGGTGTCCCAGCATGAACTGGTCTGGGTTCAGTCCTCAGCACTGTATAAACCAGGTAGGATGGTACCCAACCTGTAATCTCAGCATTCAGGTGGTAGAGGGAGGCAGTAACATAAAAAATTCAAAGTCATCCTCAGCTACCTAGCGACTAGGAGTCCAGCCTGGGCTACATGAGACCCTGTCTTAAAAAAAAAGAAAATTCAGGACCCAAGGAAAGCAAAGCTCATGGGTAGCTGGAGGGAAGGCCCTTGGTGAGAGAGGACATCTTTTTCTTTTCTCTCCAGTCAGTTCCCCACACTGGTCTGGGCACAAGGGAATTGCAGGGCCCCAGAGGATGGCAAAGTTGTCTCTGATCTGTGGCACTTTGCCCATTCTCTGGGATGGGACATAGCTGCTTACTGCTCAGTTTCTGGGTCTGGTTTCTGCTGAGGTCAGCAGAAGTGGGTCCCTCTGAAATTCCATCTCACTGTAGGCAGGGCAGGAAGCTCCACATTGCAGGGATAAGCAGGACACCTCTGTGGGTGCCTGAGGGTTAGTCCTCAGTCAGAGCTTACCTGCGGTATCCCACTGAAGTGTAATGAGATGGCTGTCATCCACTAACTCTTAGTCTTTGTTGGTGGGCAGCACCTTAGATGTACCCGATCCCTGCATTCATAGCCCACTCTGTCCACTACCCAGACAAGTCCTGTGGTCTGGGGATGCCCAGGAGGTGAGGTCCAGGTGGCCCATGGTGGCCACAGATGTCAGGTCCCTGAGGAAGGCCAGCCTGGGTCCACCAAGGTCAGGCCAGCTGTGGGTACTGCGACACTTCCACTCACTGCAGGCCACCATCGGGTGACAGTCTTCAGGAAACTAGCTGCTATGTGGGCTTGTGTGAGGGATGTGCCTCATCCTGGGCACATGGGCTCCATGCAACTAGTTCAGGAGTCTGCTGGCCTCGTCCTGCTGTCACATGGTTCTTGGATCCCTTTGAATTAGGGGGAGGTACTGGATGTAATTTTGCCCATCCAGAGCCATCTTTCCTCATCCTGGGAGGCATGGTCTCTCACATGGGGGATCCCCCCAACCAAATTGGGGACCCTGGCCTCTGCCACAGTCTCTGTGGTGTCTGGGTCCTGGCTCTTCCAAAGGCCTTTGCTTCTCTTTAGGTCTGGGATGAAGCCAACATGAGGGCCCAAGAACTGGCCACAAGGGATGGCTGGCTGAATGTCTCCCCATTTGACCACCCCCTGATATGGTAAGACTGGTGGCTATGTCCCCAGGGAGCCAGAGCTCATTGAGTCAGGGTCCTCCCACTGGACAGAAGGGAAACTGAAGCCAAGCAAGGGGGAGAGGCTCAAAGCTAGACAGAAGCAGGTCCTACCTTGTTTCTGCCACCTGGGAATTGTGTGGCTTTGTGTAACCTCCCTGCTTAGGCTTCAGTTTCCCCATCTGTAAAATGGAAATTATGATATGAAGTCCCTTTTGTCGGATATGTGCCAAGGAGATGACTGTAAGCTGAGCCCTAGAGGGGCTTCAGTTTCCCCATCTGTAAAATGGAAATTATGATATGAAGTCCCTTTTGTTGGATATGTGCCAAGGAGATGACTGTAAGCTGGTTGTCTGCAGAGCCCTAGAGGCAGTACTAGAAAACCCTCTGAGGCACAGAAGGGTCAAGATACTTGCCTGAGGTCACACAGCCAGTCAATGGCAGAGAAGGGGTTCTAGTTCCAGAACCCCAGTTGACTGGTTCTGAGTGATAGGTTGGCCCCTCTTAACCCTTCCTGCTAAATCACTTCTTCCTGAAGTTGGGGGAAATTGAATGGGCGACTGTCCAATAAAGTGCCTGAGGGGTGATGGGTGGATGGGTGGATGGATGGATGAATGAATGAATGCATGCATGCAAGGACAAAGTGGAGGGACACCTGCCGCAGTGTCTTCTCACCCATGGCTGTGGCTGGGGAGGAGTCCCCATCCCAGGATTCCCTCTCACGTGTTCCTCCCCCACCTACAGGGAAGGCCACGCCAGTCTGGTGCGGGAGCTGAAGGTGTCTCTGGGGACCCCACCAGGTGCTGTGGTGCTGGCAGTTGGGGGTGGAGGGCTCCTGGCAGGTGTGACAGCTGGCCTGGTGGAGGTGGGCTGGCAGCATGTGCCCATTGTCGCCATGGAGACCCGAGGGGCACACAGCTTCAATATGGCCATGAAGGCAGGAAGGCTGGTCACTCTACCAGACATCACCAGGTGTGGCTACATGGGGCATCTGAGGGGGGAGGGGGCTGGGTCTCTGTCTTATGGTCTCCTTGTTCCAACTAATGGGGATAATGGGCATCCCAAAGCTTTCCTTGTCTTGGAGTTCTAACCACTGTCATGAAGATCTAATTTGGAAGGGTGAAAAAGCCTGTGTAGTCTGCCAGTCTAAAACTAGTGTGGTCTACGTCTGCCATCCCAGCACTTAGGAAGCTGAGGCAGGGGGTTTGAAAGTTAGAGACCAGCCTAGGCTACATAGAGAGTGCTTGCATGAGGACCTGGGTTCAGAACCCCAGAGTCTACATAAAAGCCAGGTGTGGAGGTACATATCTGTGATCCCAGTGCTGGGAGACTGGAGATAGGTGGATCTCAGAGGCTTGCTGTCTAACAAGCCTAGCAGAAACAAGTCTGAGAGACCTTGCCTCAATTAAAAAAGAAAAGAAAAATACACACACACACACACACACACACACACACACACGTAAGGTGATCACCTGATGTTGTGACCTCCAGCCTCCACACCTGCCCACAAGGGTGAGCATACCTATACACACACAGGCAAACATACACATACACACACACACACACACACACACACACACACACACACACACAAAATGAAGGATCGGAATCATTTAAACTTCACCCATTAATAAGACAGGCTCTCATTGGTCAGAATCAAGCAATAGGTGATACAAGACAGCGTCACCCCCAGCGGACCCTCTATTGGTGGACATAGCCCCAGCTGGACAGTGCTTTCCCCAGCCTGCCTCTCCCCCTTCACATGCACATGCCTGGCTGCCCAGAACTCCACCTGCTACATAGGAAGTGCCTAGCAAATGTGTGGAAAATGAGTGAATGGATTAGATGTTCTTCTCTTTTTCATTGGTCAGGGTCTCATGGAGCCCAGACTTGCCTCCAACTCACTATGTAGCCAAGGGTGACCTTGAACTCCTGATCCTCCTGCCTCCACTTCCCAAGTGTTAGGATTGTAGAGTGTACCACCACACCTGGTTTATGAGATGCTAGGGATGGAACCCAGGGCTTCCTGCATGATAGGAGATCACTGAGCTCTACTCACTGAGCCACATCCCCAGCCTGGGTTACATATTAAAAGGCTAGAGTTTGTCGGGCATGGTGGTGCACGCTGTCAATCCCAGCACTCAGGAGGCAGAGGCAGGCAGATCTCTGTGAGTTTGAGGCCAGCCTGGTCTGCAAAGTGAGTTTCAGGCCAGCTGGGGCTATGGGGAGACCCTGTCTCAAAAAGACCAAAAAAAAAAAGACGAGTTTGTAATCTCTACTTTTCTAGTTCATATTAAGTCATGAATGTACCTTTTTTTTTTCCTGCAACATCAGAGCACTGATTGTATTTTATTTGTTTTTTAAAATATATTTATTTATTCATTGTTCTTTTTGAGACAAGGTCTCCCTGTATCCCCAGCTGGCTTGGAACTGGCTGGCCTGGAACTCACAGAGATCCACCTACATCTGCCTCCCAAGTGCTGGGATTAAAGGTGTGTGCCACCACGCCCCACCAGTCAGTGCTCTTAACCACTGAGCCATCTCTCCAGTCCACAGATTGATTTATTTAAAAGTTTTTTGTTACTTTTATTTTATGTTTATGAGTGAGTGTTTTGCCTGTGTGTATATAAGTGCCTATGGAGGCCAGGATTCCCTGGAACTGGAGTTTTGGATAGTTGTTAGCCACCATGTAGGTTCTGGGAACTGAACCTGAGATCTATAAAAGCAGCTAGTGCTCTTAACTACTTGAGCCATCTCTTCAGGCTATTTTGATTTATTTTTGTGGTGCTAAGTATGGAACCCAGGGTCTCACACATGCTAGACAGGTTACTGTGCCACTGTGCTGGACTCCCAACTCTGTAACTAGTTTTAATTCAACTGGGGAAAAGTTCTGCACAAACCAGTAGAATGGTCCAGCATTTGGGCCCTGCCTTGTCCAGTATCTTTTATCCTTACACAACACCATGGTTATTGGATCAGCCTCTTGGGGCTCCCATAAGAAATTATTGCAAATTGGGCTGGAATGATGACCTAGTCTGTAAAGTGTTTGTCTTGCAAGCAGGAGGACCCGAGTTTGACTCCCAGGAACCTTGTAAAAGAGTGGAGTGTGGTGGCGTGCCATGTAATCCCAGCACTGGGGAGGCAGTGACAGGCGGATCCCTGGAGCTTGCTACCCTGGCCAGCCTAGCCTATTGGCGAGCCCCAGGCTAACAAGATAAAGCTTCTAATGTTGACCTGTGGCCTCTGTGTGCACACATCTTCTATCTCCTCAGGTCCAAGGGGAAGATGTTAGCAGTTCCTGGGTCAAGGTCCCAGTTTGCCCTGGGGCTTTGGGGAATTTCTTCCTAATGTGGTGGTGACTGGAGCCCCTAGTGTCTGGGCTAGGAGACAACTCTCTGTTTCCTGTAACCTTCCTCTCTGAGTCTTTGAGTGTTCCCTCCTCTCTTCCTTCCTTTCTTTCAAAAAATATTTTATTATTTTTATTGTATGATTTCCTGGAACTGGAATTACGGAAAGTTGTTAGCTGCCATGTGGGTGTTGGAATTTGAACCTGGGTCCTCTGCAAAAGCAGTCAGTGCTCTTAACCACTGAGCTGCCTTTATAGCACACCCCCTCCTTTCTTTATAAGGTCACTTTCTTTATAGAGTTTGGGGCAGCTCAATGGTTGAGCACCCGCTTAGCAGGAATAAGGCCCTACGTTCTGTCCCCAACACCATTCACATATGTGTGTACAAAAACACACAAATTAAAAAGCCTGGGCCAGTCCTGTGGCTCTTCCCTCCCCTCCCCTCCCCTGCCCTCCCCTGCCCTCTCTTCCGTTCCCTTCCTTTCCTTCTTCCCCTTTTCTTTTCTTTCTTTTCTTTTCTTTTCTTTTTGGTGATGTCTACATTAAGACATATGGGATAGACCACACTGTTCATCTCATCAAAGTATCGTTCAGTGGTTTCATAGTCACAGAATTATGCAGCTGACACCAGCAATTTTAAAACATTTCTATTCTGCCAAAGAACTCTCACTCCTCTCAGCCATCACCCTCATCCCCTCAGCCTGAAGAATCACTACCCTCCTCTCTGTCTCATGTTTTTGCCTCTTCTGGACATTTCTATAATGGAGTGAAGGGGTATTGGTCCTCTATCCTGCCTCCTTCCTCTGAGAGCTGACTCTGATGGATGCATTCGCGGTGTGGTGTGCCAGGACCTCTGTCCTTTCTGTGGTGGAGCTCGGGGCCAGGTCGTCAGTGGGTGGGCCCAGTCTTACTCATTGGCCTCTGAGCTGACACAGTCAGGGTGTTCTTCCTTTTGGTGTTGGTGGACAGTGCTGTGGCAGCTGCTGGTTGCCACGTCTGTGGGACAGAAAACTCTCCGGTGAAGTTGTCGGCAGCCAGAGCAGCTTCTCTTCAGCTTTCTTTGCTTTTTCTAAAGTTTTTAAAATTTATTGTTTTAATTTTATGTGTATGAGTGTATTGCCTGCATGCATATGAGTGCACCCATGACATGCAATGCCTTGAGGAGGTCAGAAGATGGCAACAGATCTCCAGGAACTGCAGTTACGAATGGTTGTTAGCTGCCATGTGGGTGCTGGCATTCAAACCCAAGTCCTCTGCAAGAGCAGCTAGAGCCGTCTCTTTTTCCTAATCCCTCTTTCTTTCTCTCTCTCTGTCTTTCTCTCTTTCTCTCTTTCTTTCTCTCTTTCTCTCTTTCTTTCTTTCTTTCTTTCTTTCTTTCTTTCTCTCTCTCTCTCTTTCTTTCTCTCTCTCTCTCTTTCTTTCTTTCTTTCTCTCTTTTTTTATTTCTTTCAAGATAGGATCTCACTGTATAGCTTTCTTTCTTTCTTTCTTTCTTTCTTTCTTTCTTTCTTTCTTTTCTCTTTCCCTCCCTCCCTCTTTCTTCTTCTTAGTTCCATACAGCCATATTAACAGTAACAGTTTGGAATTAATATGGCACAGCCAGATTAAAAGTTCACAGTCTGTTAGAAATAATGTCTTAGAATAAAATGTATAGCTCATTGTGTTGGTTGATTGTTTGTTTGGTTTGATTTTTGAAACAGTCTCACTGTGCAGCCCTGACTCTCCTCGGACTTAAATTCCTAGAGATATGCCTGCCTCTGCCTCCCAAGTGCTGGGACTAAAGGCGTGCGCCACTGCGCCGGGCTCTTCTTCTTTTTTTAAGGCAGGGTCTCATGTAGCCCAGACTGACCTTGTAGTCATTGAACTCACTATGTAGCCAAGGATGACCTTGAACTCTTGATCCTCCTGTGTCTACCTCCTGTGTGCTGGGATTATAGGCACACGTCATCGCATCTGGTTTCTTCAGTGCTGGAGATGGAAGCCCCACGCATGTAGGCCAGGGCTCTACTACTGATCCTCAGTCCTACAAGCCTCTCTGCTGATTTATCCTTCCTTGCCTCTCTCCCAAGCCTGCAGCCAAACCCCAGCCCTCTCACCCCCTGCCACAGCCTGTCTTCCAGTCCCTTTCATGGCCGAGGCCCTGTCCTGCATCCGACCCTTTGCATGTGCTGGTTCCTTGCCTGAAACTCTCTCCTCAACTCCTGTATCCCAGCTTAGATGTCTCTTTGGGGGCTCCGGGTGATGCCCCTGGCACAGCTTACCATAGGGATATTTATTTATTTACTTGCTCCCCACACCCTGTACTGGGGATGGAACCCAGGGCCTCACACATTCTAGTCCAGCACTCTAATGCCAACTGCATCCATAGCCCAGGATACTTTTTCTCTTGAGGCAAGGTCTCACTAAGTTGCCCAGCCTAGCCTTGAACTTGCTTTGTATCCCAGAGAGGTCTTGAACTTGAAGTCTTCCTGCCTCAGCCTCCTGAGTGCTGGAGTGACAAGCCTGTGCCACCATGCCTGCCTCATTTTCTTGATCATGTGTTTCTTATCATTGCTTCTGCCCCATTGGTTCCTGTCTCCAGTCACCACAACGACAATAATAATCAGGACCCACACTTCTCCAGAACTTGCTAAGTGTCTGTCTCTGAACTAGACACTTAACAGGCTTCAACTCGCTTGATCCCTGATACAACCCCACTAGCTCCATTATTCAGATGAAGAAACCCAGGCTCAGAGAGGTCAAGTGAGTTTCCCAAGACTGCGCAGCTAGTGAAGAACCAAGGTCAGAAACAAGACACTCTACTCTGGCTCCAACCTTGGTGGTCTGGACTTCAGGAGTCAAAGGTTGCCAAAGGCATCTTTGGGCTCAAAACACACTCCAGCTCACCACAGGTGGCAGCAGGGAGCCCTGTACTGAGGATTGACAGCATTGGAATCCACATTTGGACATGGGCTAGCTGTGCATGCTTCATGTAGTTACTTAACCTCTCTGAACCTCACTTTCCTCCTCTTTGAAATGGAGCTAAGCACATTTCTCATTTAAAAGGGTGGGGAGGGTTGTAAGAATTAAAACAGAAAATCTATACATCTGGCACATGGTGCACATCAATAAAAATTAGTAGAGACACAATGAATAGTTATTAGTATTGAGTTTCCTGAGATCAGCACAGGGTCAGAAGCTTGATGCATGCTCATGAGTGCTCTCTGCACCTCCTGATTGGGACCTAGCCTATCACAGGGCACAGGGTGGCCTGGGGCCAACAGGGCTGGGGCTGTGTGGGCACAGATGTGATGTGCCTGCTTTTCTCCCCCCACCCTCCAGCTCTACTGTCTCCCTCTTCTCCCCGTTCATCCTGCAGTGTGGCCAAGAGTCTGGGAGCCAAGACGGTGGCCTCGAGGGCTCTGGAGTGCGCACAGGAGTGTGAGATCATCTCTGTGGTGGTAGATGACAAAGAGGCTGTGAGTGCCGTGCAGAGGTTCCTGGGTGAGTGACACTCAGGGGATCTTACTGAGTCCTGATCTGGCAACAACCAGTTCACTCTCATCTGTGTCCTCAGCACCTATCATTGGGCTGGGCAGGCAGTAGTGATGCCTTGGAGGTATGTCCAGTGGTGGAGGAAGGAGGGGCATCTCCCTGCCTGAAGCCTTAGAACCTTTGCACACATCCTTTCTGCTTTCCTGACTCTGGATATCCATCCTGCCCCCAACCCCACTGCCTCCCTGTGCTGAGGACTGGTTAGTCATCAGGTGCCTCCTCCAGGAAGTCACCTTGATCTCTTCACACAGCCTCTCCAGCTGGGGACATCCAATAAACCCATCCCTCTGTCCGCAACTCCCTGGTTCTCTCTGCATGTTTTGTCTGCATGTATGTAAGTGTACCCATGTGTGCAATGTGCGAGGAGGCCAGAAAAGGGTGTTGGATCCCTTGGAACTGGAGCTATGGACAGTTGTTAGCTACCATGTGGGTGCTGGGAACTGAACCCAGGTCCTCTGAAAGAGCAGCCAGTGTTCTTAGCCACTGAATCATCTCTCCAGTCTCAACTGCCTGGTTCTTAATTTAGGATGTGACTGCATGAGGGTGGGGCTTTGTATCTTAGCCACAGTTGTTTCTCCGGGATCTTCCTAGCTCAGGGTCTGGCAGAGTGGGCCCTCAATAAATATTTGTTGAATGAATGTATGAATAAGTAGAAGAGGTGAGCAATGAATGGACAGATAGTAGAGGGAGGAAAAGATTGCTAGGTGGACAGATGGATGGGTGGATGGATGTGTGGATGGATGGGTAGATGGATAGGTGGGTAGAGGATGGGTGGGTTGATGGATGGGTGGATAGAGGATGGGTGAGTGGATGGATGGGTGGGTGGATAGATGGGTGGATAGAGGATGGGTGAGTGGATGGATGGGTGGGTGGATAGATGGGTGGATAGAGGATGGGTGGGTGGATGGATGGGTGGATAGAGGATGGGTGGGTGGATGGATGGGTGGCTGGATGGGTGAATGGATAAATGGGGGCTGAGTGAATGGATGTATGATTGGGTGTATGTATGTATGGATAGTGGAGGAAGGGAAGGATGGATAGGCGGATAGATGGGTGGATAGATGGATGGATGAATGGATGGGTGGGTGGGTTGGGTAGATGAATGGGTAGATGGATGGATGAGTGAATGAATGTATAGCTGGGTGGATGGATGGGTGGACACATTTAAGGGCAGACTGATGGATGAACAATTGCATCATAGGTAAGAGATGGATGGTAGGCTGTACTGATGGATGGACAGCTGAGTGATATAGGAGGGGATGGGATGGGTGGGGAGACACCTGTGAGTGCATGAGGGAGGGATGAATGGATAAGTGTCTGTTGAGCACTGGCCAATAAGCCCTCTCTTCTTCACAGATGATGAGCGTATGCTGGTGGAACCTGCCTGTGGGGCGGCCCTCGCTGCTGTCTACTCAGGCCTCCTAGGGAGGCTGCAGGCTGAGGGCCGCCTGCACCAGGCCCTGGCATCTGTGGTGGTCATTGTGTGTGGTGGCAACAACATAAACAGCCAACAACTTCAGGAGCTGAAAACTCAGCTGGGTCATAGCTGAGGGCTCCCAGAGAGCCCCGAGACTCTCCTGGACACTCTTATGGTCAGCCAAAGTGCTCTGTTTCAAGTTACCCTGTCTTCCTCCCCCAGGAAGCTCTCCTGGATTTCTCCTGGTAGCTCGCTACAGTCCAGTGAATAAACATTCCCAAGCTGAGTCTGTGTCTCCCCCAGATTCTATTTCTACCCTATGAGCTCACAGGAGGCCCACAATGATCTTAAGGCTGGTTCTGAGACAAAGTAACTCCAAGTTACACTGTGGGTATTTGTGTCAAGCCACGACAGCATGTCTGTGATGGAAGCTAGCCACAGCCAACTCCTAACAGGGCCTCATTTACCTATGGAACCAGCTTAGCCTGCCCAGGTCACCAAGGAGGGGGACCAGCCATCACTTCTCAGGCCTGGGTGAGAGACCAGCCCTTGTCACATGCTTAAGTGCCATTAATGCCTCTGATAACTCTTGTTTCACAGAGTGGAGGGGTGAAGTGTATGGTGGGGCAGGTGACTCATGAAGGTCACACATCTGGGATGTGACCCAGTCAGGCACAATCTTTGTTTCTTAATGTCACTCTACATGATTTGGTCCTGATTGTCAGTGTGGGAGCTGGGTGGGAGGCTTGGGGGAAAGGGGGTAGGAAACCCCCAAGTGGGTCCAGTCACACTTCTGAGTCACAGGGAAGGGTCTAGGAAACAGCTTAGGATGTAAGTGGAAAGTTGGCTCCTTTGCAGCCACAAGGGGGCAGAAGAGGGTCTCCTATGGGAAGGAGGCTCAGGGCAGAAGATCTGTCTGTACAATCCTGGGCTTCTCCTTGGCTCTTACCTAAGCTGGGGGTCCTGAGATCCCAGAAGAGGCTAGAACACAGTGTGTCTTGGTATGGGGAGCCTCTTCTGGCCCCCTCACAGCCCTGCCAGGAGATAGAGCTCAGAGTGGCCATCATAGCTTAGGGTGGGACCAGCTCCCTGTCCTGTGTGCTGTGTAACCCTAGATAAAAACCTTTCCCTCTCTGGGCCTCCAGCTGCACTTGAGGGATATAGGAGGCGCATGTAACATGACTCACCTCCTCTCTTTGGCCAGAGGTTGCTTCCCTCTTCAAAAGCAGTATTTGAGAGCAGAAATCACGACTGCCTGCATCCTATTTGCTCTTGAACCCCAATCATGCGTCTCAGTTGCTAAGGACTCCGTACCAGACAACAGGGAACGCAGCCCTGTTTCCTTAGAACCAAACCTTGTGAGCCTACCAGGATATAGACCATAATGGTATGAGCCCTGGAGCTGGAGTCAGGCTCTGCTCTTACTAGTCCAGGAATCTTGACAGACCTCCCTCCCTTTTGTAACCTCAGTGTTCTTGGCTGTAACAGTCTGGCAAGAGATCAGGACTGTGGTCCTGCTGGGTGTAGCCTTGTGGTGGCGGATCATTCTCTCTCCAGGGTACTTCTTATCCAAGGTGAAGTGTCAGGCGCTAGTCAATACTAAGCGCCTATGTCATGATGTGGGCTTTAGACAATCCTCCATTTTTATCTCATAATGACAATTGCTGCCCATATGTTCCAAGTGAGGAGACAGGGGTACAGAGCAGTTGGGCTACTCAGTCTGGGTCACACAGCTTACACACAGGATGTCTCTGCTCCGCCCCTCCTGCCCTTTGCTCAGGCTGTGCCCCGACTGGCCTTGACCTCTGTACCTCTGACTCATACACAACCTCCCTGGTCTTGCCAGGTTGCCTGAGCCATGAATGTTCATCCCTCATGGCTGTCCCTGTGTGTGAATGGCAAAGCCTGCTTTGGGTCCAGGTGCTGGGGATCCCAGGAGGCCCTGCCTCCGCCTTGATCCAGTGCTCGTCCTCCTGGGAGATCTGTCAGCTGCTGTTTGCTCTTTGCCAGGTCTCTGGAGCTATAGATAAGAAATCCAGAGGGCTGTTGACATGTAGGAATAACATGTGTCCGTGAGTTCAGCTTAGACCCTCTGTTTGACACCCAAGGCATTTGAGAGCAGGGAGGGGCTGAGAGGGGAGAGTCAGTGGATAAGAGTCAGGGGCAGCGCTGTTAAGACTTGACTTGGCAGGAGGTTCAGCAGGCAGATGCTTACTCATTCTGCCTCTGTTGTCTTAGGCTCTCTGTTGGAAGTGCAAGGAGGGGACTGGGGCCAGAGAGCATCTGCCCCAGGCTGCACAGGGCCACTGCAGAGGGTCTACAGGGTATGTGTGCCTCTGAGATACACCAAGCTGGCCTCGCTGAGGCTGTGTGCAGCTCCTCTTTGGCCACCAGCATCTAGCTGTATCCAGATCCCCTGGTCTCATCTCCAGGTTTCGGCTGGCAAGGGGGCTGTTGTTGCCTTACAGCATGGCAGGGTCAGAGTGGCAGCTGCTTGGACCTCCCAGACTGGATGTGTCCTGAGGGACAACACCTGAAGTTAAACTATGCTTTCTTTACATACGCACACGCACGCATGGACTCACGCACGCACCTACACACATGAGAAACCTCACTCACACACACAGATACAATGTGTCAGACACTGACATGTACTTTAAAGAAAAGGAGGACAGAGAGTGAGTTAGAGAAACAACGTGGGCTACTCTGTTATGTTGGAGTGTGTAAGGAGTCCAACATCAGACTGTTCAGGTGATAAACTATATCAATATGAGTCATGGATAAGGAGAAAAGGTTTTTTTAAAAATACTGGTGATCAATCCCAGGGCCTTATACATTCCAGGCAAGCACTTTACAACTTAGCCAAATCCACAGCCCCTGCCTGCCTCCCTCAGCCCTGTGCCTGGCTTGGCGGTGGCGGGGGGGGGGGCTCCCTGTTCATCTTGAGTAAACTTTACCTCTGGGTGGAAATAGTATGCTGCCACCTGGACTCAGAGCAGGGCTGTGAACTGAGCGCCTGACTTACAGAGGGGTTGGCTTCATAGAGTGCACAGTTGTACCCCCTCCAGGGCACTGTGCACAGGAGCCTCTGTGTCTAGGGATGCCTGGGCTGTGGACACAGGCCACACAGGGATATAAAGTAACAGGTAGCCCCAGGAAGCCCTGTCTGGGTGTGGGTCACCCTGTCTGTGGCCATTTGTGGTCTACACCCCACCTGTGTAGCCTCCTTGTTTATCTGTCCTCCTCTTCCTCCTCCTCTTCCTCTTCTCCCTTTGCTCCTGCTACTTCTCATTCCCCTCCTTCTTCTTTTGAGGCAGAGCTTCACGTAATCCAGGCTAGTCTTAAACTTGGTATGTATCTCTCTCTCTCTCTCTCTCTCTCTCTCTCTCTCTCTCTCCTCCCTTCCTTCTGCCTCAAGCCTTCCCTCTATAAATTACATCCAGGACTCTCCACCCCTGGCCCTGTGGTCTAAGCAGACCCTTCTCTCCTGTCTCATCGGCCTCTCCTTTCCCTAGTGTTTGTGCTGTTTAAACTCCACCAAAAATGTCACGGGCAGGCTATGTACCTGCCTTCCAAACTCCCTGATAAATTCCACTGGCTGGGAACCCCAGGAGAGGCTTTCTGGAGCAAGGAACCCCATAAATCACCCCACTGCCACTCCGGTGTGGGCAATATCTTATGTAAAAAGGTGTTTCCTGGGAACGCCATGGGCAGGAGAATCCTATTACAAGCCGCCCCATTAATTATAGAGAGTCAAGCCGACCCTTTCCTGTGATTTTTTATCTTAAGTCCCAAAACTGATTACCGTCACCAACCTTTCCCCTACCAAAAAGATCTAAGAATAAAATCAATGTTTGAAGAACAAATAGCCGAGCTGCTCCTTTTAGAAGAGCAAGGGCCGAGAGGGGAGTGACACGCGAGTGGGTCTCTTTTTCCCTCAGAGGGTAAAAGTGAGTGGGTGCTCTCTGGGCCTGGCATAATCCCTTGACTCCCCAGCCCCTGGAGGCGGACTTAATAATTGGTCCCATCTTCCACAGGAGGGAAACTGAGGCTGTCCTGAGGTCACATGGTTAGGTCATCTCTTCTAAGATGCTGAGGTACCCAGAAGACAGCCTAGACTGGGTGTTATAAGACCTGGGTTCAAATTCTACCTCTACTTCTTTTGGACCCCTGAATGGGTGGTTGAACCCCTCAGAGCCTCCGTTCTGTCTTCTGCAAAATGGACAACAACGTCTCGAAGGCTTCCTGCAGTAGTGTGTCTCATGTCTGGGTGACTTGTCCCCCCACCCATGCTGCCAGCACTCTGGTCTGCTTGCCACCTGGCAGTCAGAAGAATTTTAAACTCGCAGAAGGTCTGTGCATACCCCTCCCAGACCCTGGCTGCACTTGGGGTACAGGCAGCCCCTGACCTTGACCTGTAAGGTATGTGCCATCAGCCTCTGTGGATCAGCCTCTGTGGCTACAGTCTTTTCTCCTTCCCTCCCCTTAGACATCCAGAATTACAGTCTATCCCCCAATGCTTTCTCTTCCTACAGCGACCAAACAACCTCATGCCTCAGGACCACCCTTTCTGCCGTTTCCTCTGTTAGACACACTCTTCCCACAGATCCTAGCAAAATCAGATTTCTCTCATTTAGGTGCTGGCTCCCCTGTCTCCCCTGGGGGTCCTTCTGGCCTGCAGCTTTCAGGTCTGGGTCGAGGGAGACAAAAAAACACTTTTTCTGCAGTAAAATACAAGGACCCCAAACACCGAAAGGAAATGCGGTTTTTTTGTTTGTTTGTTTTTGTCTTTTTAAGATAGGGTCTCCCTATAGCCATAGCTGGCCTGGAACTCACTTTATAGACCAGGCCTGCCTTGAACTCACAAAGATCCGCATGCCTCTGCCTCCTGAGTGCTGGTATTAAAGGCGTGCACTACCACACAGGGCAGGACATATGTTTAAAATGAAACAAATACAAAAATGAATGAAAAGTACAGGCTGGGGCTCCGTGTAGTCAGTGGGACTCTCCTTGCACCTCACCCCACCCAAGACCCTGCAGATCTGCCTGTATTTAAAATAGTGTTAGAGGGATTGAAGAAGTGGCTCAGGGGTTTAGAGCACTGGCTGCTCCTGCAGAGGACTGGGGTTCAGTTCCCAGCACCTACTTCAGGCAGGTCACAATCACCTGCAACTCTAGGGCGAGGGAGTCTGGCACCTGCTTCTGGCCTCCACAGGCACTGCACTCACATGCACTGTGCACACACGGACACACATACCCATAAGTAAATAAAACAGATCTTTAAAA